AAGTGTGAATATCTGTATGGTTTTGCAAGAGTACAGGTACATTTTATATATTGCAAGAAAAGCATAATTAATAGCTAATTAGGATAATGAAAGTAATATACACCAGATGTAGAGAAGACCTTGTGGAAAATTAGTATGAATTAGATAGCATGTGATTTGGTCAAAGAAAGCTTGTTGAGAAGAATTAATACAGTGGACATGTGGAGGGACAATCAGTGGCTGTCTAGCTCCAATACCTAGGGAATAATTTAATCAAGTTTGCTATTGTAATACTCAGGGCTTCAAGCTGTTTCGTTTTCACAAGTCAATAACTTGGGATTTGGCCTTGATTTGCAGCATTCCTATATGGTCAAGGTTTCATGTTGAGATGATCACTTACCAAGTAATTTAATAAAAGCATCTCTGTATAAGAATGGAAAAGTAATCGGGGATCTTGAGTACTCTGATTCAGGCTCCAAATCTTCTAAATACTGTTAAATAAATAGAGCTTTATTCCTTGTTCTATAACTAATTTTCTATTTAATGCTGATTGGTTGGCAGTAGTTCAGTTTCTTATTCCTTCCAAATGTTCACCAGAATCTCTTATTCTAGGAAACTGAAATTTAGCAATTTCTTGGTTGGGTTATATACCTGCATTTTGAAGCAACATACAAATCTTATGTCTCATTCACAGACATTATGTCATTTAATCGTCACGACAAGGTATAGGTATAAACACCATAATTGTTATTTTTCCCATTTTCAGATAAGATAACTAAGCTGGAAACAAGAAACTTGTCCAATGTTACATAGATAATAAGTGGTGGACCCCAGATTTGAACACCAGTTCTCTACCTTCATACCACTATTGCTTTTAACCACTAAACACATAAATTGATAGTTGTAAATGAAAAGAGGAAAAAGAGATTACATCCTTTTTGTTTGTAATTACATAAAGACATAGAAAACATATAGTCCTTTGTGGTATGTGTCATCTTTATTAAATTCATTGATTTTTATCAAAAGTTACTATGTAAATAATATAGCAACACAGCAATAATTTGTGTGATAGGGATTTTTTCCATATTCCTTAAGGATTATTAATTGATGAGCTTTGAAGATAATCTATTCCTTATTTGCTTTGGAGCAGTAATATTTAAGCCATATTGCAATCCTGAGATGTCTATAGATAAATAGAAACCTGGTCCACTGACATTACCCAGCAGGAGGTCTGTCAATTGCAGTGTCATGGGTCTACTCTGAGGAACTCATCTAGCATAATATAAACCTCAATTGTGGTTTGGTATGTCTAGCCTGGGTGAAAACACTTGACTCTTTAATGGTCAAGAGGGAATTTGTTGAATCTGTTTTTTTTTTAATTGCATTTTAGGTTTTGGGGTACATGTGAAGAACATGCAAGATTGTTGCATAAGTACACACATGGCAGTGTGATTTGCTGCCTTCCTCCCCATCACCTATATCTGGCATTTCTCCCCATGCTATCTCTCCCCAACTCCCCACCCTCACTTTCCCTCTCCTATTTCCCCTCAACAGACCCCAGTGTGTGATGCTCCCCTCCCTGTGTCCATGTGTTCTCACTGTTATGAAAGACATCACAGTCTGTGACCAATTCTTCAAATTATCTCCTGAGTATAGCAACAATTTCAATACCAAGAAAAGCAAAAACTGCGTATTTTCTCCACTAGTTTCTGTGTAGGTGGGCTATATATGCTGATGTGAACTGCTCTCTCACATCCTGAGATCATTTCTACTTTTAATTTTTGCTGTGCTTAAGATCTTGTTTTATAGATTTCTTTTCAACATGTCTTACTTTATGTAATTTCTCAATTGAATTCTGTTATTAATCTTCTTAGGTTACTGAAGTAGTAAAATCTTATTAGCTTGCCCTTTTAGATAAGGAGAAGTCTATTTTGTTGAGTACACTTTGAAAATCACATTTCTGTCTGTGGAGGGCTTGAACAGATGCTAAGAGACATTGTGTTTTATATCTTACCTGATTTTCATATACACTTGTCCAGCAGTATCCATAGGGGACTGGTTCCAGGACCCCACTTGGACACAAAAATCCAAGGATCCTCAAGTCCCTTATATAGTGTCATATTTGCACATAACCTTTGTAAATCCTCTTATATACTTTAAATAATCTCTAAATTACTTATAATATGTAATACAATGTAAATGCTATGTAAATACTTGTTATACTGTACTGGTTAGGGAATAAAAAAAAAAAAAATCTGTACATGTTCAGCACTGATGCAGCCATTTAGTTTTTGCCAACTATTTTTGATCCAAGGTGGCTGAACCCACAAATGTGGAACCGATGGATACAGAGGGCTGACTCTCTTTGTTTTCATAGACTTCAGAGTGTAGGACACTTTTACTGTCTAGTGAAGTGCTTACTTAATTGAATGACAAATGTTTTCAAAGATGTTTTCTTGTTGATTATTTCACTGTGTGAAATAATTTTTTTTTTCAATAAGTATGCAACTTGACAGAACCAGCCCAGGCCAGAGGTGGCCTGTGGAACTGGGAAGGTGGGGGCTGGGCAGGAGCAAGTCCCACTGGAGGCCAGTGAGAGTGGAAGTGGGATGGGCAGCCCGGGAGCCCAGCCCTGAAGAGTCGAGCTGGCAACTTCAGGGAGTAGGTGATGAGGGGCTGCCTGCGAAGGTAGGGGTGGTACTGCAGCCCAAGCCGCCTCCACTCTCCACTCCATCCAATCTGGCAAAGCACACATCAGGCCAGGCGTAGGCAGGGGTCCTGCCCAGCATCCGGCTCACGCACACGGAGGCAGTGGCTGAAGTGGGTGCCGGCACACCCCAGGAGGCAGGCTATCTGCTGTCTCTTGGTCAATGGCACTCTTGGGGGCCTCCCTCTCCTCAGACCTCCGAGGCAGTGAGCGTGGAGTTAAGCAGCAGGGTGGTCCTGATTCGGTAGAGCTGGGCCAGGGTCAGCTTCCTGTGCTGAGCAGAGACCCCTGGTGGGGGTTCAGGCTGGACCGCCAGAGGGGCCCCCGAGGGCAGCTCTACACATCTCTTCCTGTCAGAGCCTGCAGGTTCCCCGGCCAGGCAGCTGCTTCTGTCCTCGGGCTCTAACAGCTCAGGACCACTGCCAGGGCTGGGGCCCCCCCGGCAATCCCAGCTGGGCCCAGCTTCCCGAGGGGATCCCTGAGTCCTAATACCTGGGGCTGGAACAGCCAGGCAGAGCTCTGACAGGCTGCGGCTGGGGGCAGGGGGTGCGCCATGGGTGCCAGCCCCTGCCAGCAGCTGGAGGAGGCTGGCCTCAGACTTAGGCTTGAGCAGGTGGGGCGGGCAGGTCAGCAGCTGTACAGGGGTGCGGCGGCGGAGACGGGGCGAGGGTGGAGGGGAAGGAGCTCGTGGGGTCAGATTACCAACTTGATGGTAATATATGGCAAATAATGTTGAAGATAATGTGGAATTTTTTTAACGAGGCTAGCAAACAATCAAATGAAAAGATAAAATCATTTTTAAGTTGATAGAAAATATTTTAAAAAGAAAAATGTCTGCATATAGAAATAAAGGTTAAAATATAAGAATAGACAATCAGTTGTGATAAACTGGCGACAGAAGACAATAAATTTTTTAAATTATTTAAAAAAACTTTGTGACCACGTATAAACAAGAATAGGTATAAGCAATGCTGTGTAGAAATTAGTTAAGATATCAAGTGTAGAAGAATATTATACAGAGAAAAATGGACTGTGAATGGGTTACAATTTCTGTGTAATTGGTAAACAAATCCAAGAGTTCTTTGTGCTTTTGTACTTCACAAACAATCAACTTTAAAAAAAAGAAAAGAAAAGAAAATGGCCAGGTGCAGTGGCTCAAGCCTATAATCCCAGCACTTAGGGAGGCCAAAGCAGGCGGATCACTTGAGCTCAGGAATTTGAGACCAGTGAAACCCATCTCTATTAAAAATACAAAAATTAGCTGGATGTGGTTGTGTGTGCCTGAAATTCCAGCTACTGGGGAGACTGAGGTGGGAGGATCCCTTGAACCTAGGAGAGGGAGGTTGCAGTGAGCTGAGATCATGCACCACTGCCCTGAAGCCTAGGCAACAGTGCAAGACTCTGAATCAAAAATGAAAAAAAACAAAACAAAACAAAACTATAACAACTAATAAGAAAATCAGTAAAGTGACCATTATATACAATTAAATGTACAAAATAAATACTTTTCCTATATACCATTGATTATGTTAGAAAATAAAATAGAAAAGTTCCATAAAGAAAAAAAAGGGCTGGGTATGGTGGCTCACACCTGTAATCCCAGCTTTTTGGGAGGCCAAGACTGGAGGATCCCTTGAGCCCAGGAATTCAAGATCAGTCCAGGCAACATTGAAAGACCCTGTCTCTATAAAAATGAAAAAACTGGCTGGGCATGGTGGTGCATGCCTGTAATCTTAGCTACTCTGACGGCTGAAGCAGAAAGATCGCTTGAGCCAAGAGTTCATAAATGTGGTGAGCTATATTGCACTCCAGTCTGCTGACAGAGATATCCCATCTTAAAAAAAAAAGGATAACTAAAGGATGTTTTATAATATATCTGAAGTGAAATGAATCTACCAAAGTGTTGAGAACATTGAAAACGCATAGGGTAATGTTATATGGAATAACATGATTAGCACTTTGAAATTATTTACAAAAAGTTTACCATGAAAAATGCTTATGTTATAATATTAAGGGCTTTTTTTAATGCATAGAAAATAGCATGGGAGAAAATATTCCTAAGTATAGATGTTTGTAACTATTATTGGATGGTTTTATTTTGCATTTTTATTCTTTTTGTGTTTTTCATAAAAGTACGTGATTTGTGATATAAAAAAATACATCTTCAATTTTTTTTTAACAATTTAGATAAGAGGCAAGTATTTGCTTTGTCTTCCATGTATAGTGTTTGGTCTCACGCAGGAAAGGAGTTTTATATTTTTTAATCTACATGCTTGTTTTTGTTATTAATGCATATGGTTGTGATTTTCCTTAGAAAGATGTGCGGGACATCGTCACCCCGATTCAAATTGAAGCTGCTTACCACCTTGGGCATCACATCATCAGTAAACGAAGCACAGAGGAATTCCCACCACTTCAGCCAATTCTTCAGCAGAAGAAAGAAAAAGACGTGATTAAAAAAATGGTAGGAATATTTTCCTTTATTCAAATTATTATGTGGCATATAGATAAATTTTTAAAATATGGTATAATTCTGAAGAAGTGAGCGATATGTCTGAATTTTTGTAGAAATGTTTATAAATTTTTAAAAACAAAGATTTATGTGTCTTATTTTCTATTTTTAAAAATTGCTTGTATTCCCTTTAGGATATTGAACTGAATATTTTAAAATATGCATTTAGTCACAATAGTAGATTCTCATTTATATAAAATGCTAATGTTCTGTTTGTGATCCCTTGTCAGTGAAGAAACTTGATATTACTAGAGAGAAATCATAATGGGAGAAGATTGTATTTGTAAGTTAGTTATTCAGTGTCATCATGTGTCCTCAGTTTATCTTCCTCTTCTCATTTCCTGTCTCCCTTGCTCTAATCCTACTAACAGATTTCCTCATGTCTTCACAGTCAAATTTCCTTGCTTAGTTGTATCCATTTATAGACACAGGCATTTATGTTATACAATGATTTCTTTTTTCAATTTTCATTATATGCATTTCAGCCACATCCCAGGATCAATTGCATTTGAGATAGATCCTACATTCTAACCAGTGAACTGTTTTCTAAATTATCCCATAATATTTTGGTTTCACTGACAATATATTTACTCTCAGGAGTCCTTTTGTACAGACCTTTACTGTCTGTCATTACAAAAACATAGTGTTTGTCCAAAAACAGGATGTGTCTGGGCATGGTAAAAAGCCTTCATTAAAACGTTCACTAATGACACACAGAATGTAAAAGATGAAAGGGACATTTAAAAGCCTAGTTCATATCCTGTCCAGACAAAATTGCCCCAGCGTCACTTTAAGATAATTGAGCTTACAGTCACCATTAGTCTAGTCTAGAATATAGGATCAAATGAAGATAACTTAAGAGCACATTTTTCTCTATAGCCTCATATGAAAATACTTAGGGAAGTCAGGGGTTGTTTTTTCTCTTCTGTTAAACTTCAGTTTTCAACATCAACTATTTTTAAATGTCTTCAATAGTGAAAATCTCAATATTGCAAGTACACAAGCCAAAACCTTAGCAATTTATAGTTAATTTATATTTTGATTCTTAGAACAACCTGCTTTACAAATAGAAATGGCAGAAAAAATCATATTTATTTAGAGAAAGATTGACACTGTTCCCCTAGGTGTAGGCACTGTCTTGTCTAGCACGCTATTTGACAGTACTCTAGACACTTCCCACTTCATGAGCCTGGCTCCTTCTGACTTTCTACATTTCTCTTTGTTTTCTGCATCTGTCTCTCTCCTTTACCTATTCCTATTATCTTCTCTTCCTTTAATCTCTCCCAGTTTTTTCCTTTTGTCCAGCTTATTCCTTGGGACTTCCCAGGTCCTTCGTAGTGTTTATTGATCTTATTAAAAAGCTCAGAGTTAATTAAATTCTGGAAACCTCATTTAATTTTGTTCAATGTTTCCTCTAAGTAAATTTTCTAAGTATCTCCATGTAGCTCATTTCAATGAATATAAAATCACTGTTCTGACATCTGCCAAAATTAAGTGCCATGCTTACATGTAATAAATGGGATCAAACTGCAGCACCAGAAAATTGAGAGGAACCCAGTGAAAAACATCTTGCCAGTTACTATACTCCTTTAATACCTTACAGTTAACTTTTTTTTTCCAAATCTTATTTCACTTATAAAATTTACCTATTTAGAACTTAGCTCTTTTAGTCCTGCAAGTAATTGTTGTTTGAACCCTACTAATTCTCAAATTGAATTTTTTAAAAGACATAAAATAAGGAGTTGTCAATTTGATGTATTAATTTTATTTTTCTCATGCATCACAGATGTCATCTTTAAAAAAAAGAATGAATATACTTGCTGATTAAAATTTAAAATGTTGTCATTTTATTTCCAGATAAACTTTGCAAGGTTTTGTACCCATGAAAATTGTTCTGCTGATTTACAGGTTTCTGCAAAGATTGGGTTTTTGAGGTAAGAATATATGTTATAGTCTGTTAATCATCAAGAGTGTGTGCATTTGCATTCCCAAATGAAAAGGACTAAGAGCTAACCCTTGAAAATTAACAGCATTTAAAGAATTAGCAACATTTCACTACACAATGCTTAGTTTTTTATCACCCAGAAAACTGGTTATATCACAAAGACTGATATATAATCCAAATATGACAAATTTGAAAAGGAACAAACCATCTTAATCTTCTAAATTCATTGAAGGGGAAACAGAGTAAAAGGCAATAGATATGATGTGCTTAGAATAGCATCTAACACATAGTGAAGACTAGTTAAATGTTGGTTGCTGTTGTTATTTCATGATGGGAAATAAACCATTGCCATTTTGCATCATGTCTGGATCCCCTATATTCAAACCATGTTGCATATCAAAGGGATGATGTGAAAACAAGGACCAGAGAGAGACAGAATGAACACGTCCGGTTGACAATGATCATAGAAGGGCAGAAAAATAGGGAACTGTTTTTGGGAGGTTATGAAATAAATGGAGCAGCTTTAATTTGGGGCATGTTGAATTTGAAGGGACTTTTATATGTGGCATTCCACTTGAAAATGCAGCCATGAGGAATAATGTCTGGATGTAAATAAGCTTTGTGATCACAGGAAATTCTATTACTTTTTACAACCACTGATTGTGTATCTGACTTCTCTATTGTACAGGCCTTGTAAGGTATAGATTTGCATTTCCTCTTGCAATGACGTAAACCAGAGCAAAGAAAGTGTATTTATTCCTGGCCTTTGAAAAATAAAATTTCCTGTTTAGGCATGGCCTATCCAGCCCTCCAGAAAAAAAAAAAAAAAAAAAAAGAAAAGAAAATCTAGTTCAGGATTATGTTTGAAAGTTCCTCTATATGTTAGTGACTCATGAGATGGCCCAAGGGGTGGAAATATGGATTTCAAAGAGAAAAGAATTATAGATCAAATCTTAGAGGACAATTTTATTCAAGGAGATTAAAAAGAATGGGGAGTCCCAATAGGAGACTGAGAAAGCATCTTGAGAGGAATAAAGAGAACCAAGTCCTTGGTGAAATAGCCAATGGAAAATATAAAAAGGGAGACTTAATATTGTAAAATTTGTAAAACCATCAGATAGCACAATGTCTGAAGAAAGGTCATGGGAACTGGCATTTATTGATAATATGTGACTGGTGGGGAGAAATGAGTATCACTGGCAACTGTAAGATAGAACACTCAGTGCAGAAGTAGCCAGATGGCAGTGTTCGTGATTCAAGAAAGGAGAGTATACTGGGAACAAGTAGGTTCAATTGAGGAATTTGTGTGTGTGTGTGTGTGTGTGTGTGTGTATATATATATATATATACACACATATATATATATATGTGTGTGTGTGTGTGTGTGTGTGTGTGTGTATATATATATATATAATGTTGTTATTTGTTTAACTATTAGGAGATGTAAATATGAGGGCCAGAGGCAGGGAACAGAATAAATTGGAGGGAGACACCTTCAACTTAATTCCCAGCAGGCGCTTTTCAGTCCAGACTTGAATTCTCCTCTGAAGCATTTGACAGCACTGTTCATTTTCTCTTTTGAATGTCTTGTCCTCTGATTTTCATGATACTGTCCTACTCCCATTCTCTTTGTAGTTATTTAGCCCTTTCTTTTCAGCTGTTTTCGAGGGATTTTTGGTTTTGGCACCCTAAATGATCTTCCCTCAACCCTTTTTCTCTCTACCATATTCAACCTCAGTAGTCTTGCTCAAAACTGCAACTTCAACTGGCATACCTACACGGGTGATGCCCAAACCAGTGTCTCTGAATGACATACTTACCCACATATCAAATTCCCTTTTAGACATGTCCTTTTGGGTGCCTCATAATTTCAGTCTGCCCAGGCACTATCCAGGAACGACATGGCCATTAGAAAGTTACCAAAGCCAGAAACCTGGGGCTCAACCTACATTCTTTTCTCTTTCTTTTTTCTGATATTCAGAATTGTTAAGTTCTACAATACTACCACTTAGATGTCTTTCTTATCCATCATATTTTGCTATCTCTACTACTTTTGCTCCAAACTAGGTACTCATTATCCTACCTAGATCACTAAGCTCTCCTGCTTTCTAGGATACTGGTCTCTGATTTTGCGTTATTAACATACACATCTGATAACAGTGTCAGTGGCTCATTTCAGACTTAAAATCTAAACTCCTTGGTGGTATTTTTCACCAATTCCCAAGGGCATTTTTTCATCATTGGATGAATACTTATACTTGCTTGGCTGTGCCATGCTTTTCTGAATCTCGATATCTTCTCGCTTCTTCTGCCCATCTACCTGATTCACTTTTATTTATCTTTTAAATCTCAGCTGTTTCCTAGGGGAAGCCCCCTGGTCTCCAGCTACTTAAACTTAAGTTCTGCTATGTCCCTGGTCCTGTGTCACTGTGCTCACGATTATCGAGAGTCTCCACACTGTCCCGGAAGCTGCTGCAAAGCACGGTCCTGTCCTTTCACCTTTGTGTTCCCAGTGCCTAACAGAGTGCCTGGAGTGCTGCAGGTGACTGGAGAGGCTTGCGGAGAATGGAACGAGGTCCCAAAAGGGATCAGATTTATAGGTAGAGGAATTAGCCTTAGTTAAGAATCTCCTTATCTTGATCTAACAAGCTATGAAAAGATGCTTGATATTAAGAAATTTCACTGTGGAAGGAAGGGAAACAGAGAACTCATGGATAGCTAAGATAAAAAACAAGTTTACATATGGTAATTGAAGGTACTGAGGATATGTTTGGGAACTTGAAAGGAATGAAAAAGATTGAAAATAGCTATTATGATAAAGGACAGGGAGTCAACTAGGAATAAATAAAAAGGTTGACAGATAGGGTTGAGTACCCTACTTCGGTGGGATCACATATGGCAGAGAATCAATTAATTATTATCACTTAGGCAATGCCAGTTTAGCCTTGAGCATCCATAGTCCAGGGCCAAAAAGACTTGACCTATTTGACTGACAATTGAACTTTATACTTAAGTTACCCAGACTGACTGCTAAGATAATCCAAAAACAGTGACTACCGACTACTTTGTATGCCAACACATAGGGCAGTGCCTTTTTTGATTTCTTAGCTGAATAACTTAAATCTTCCCATTTCTGTATTTATTGTCTTCCTAAACTGCTTAATTGTCTTCATATGTTTACCCTCGTGGGCCTTTGATAAGAATAAGAGTTGTGTGAGGGAAATCTTTTCTAAGCTGTAAGTAAAGGAGGTTTTCATTCTCTTAAATCAGACACTTCTGCTGTTACCTTTCATTGTGGTCTCTGTGGCCTAGGAGAAAATGAGACATTGATATTTATAAGAAAGTATTACTAACTATGCTTCTTTCCTGAAGAATGAAAATGTATCTTAATGAATTACTTTTCTTTGTTACATGTTTTCTCACAACAAAATACCTACTTTGCATTTGTAATTTGAAGCAATATTTCTTGTAGCCTATCAAACCCATTATGATTTTAAATGGAGTGTAAGGTTGTGTTTCTTAAGGTGTTGTCTTTGAGCCACCTTTATGAGAATCACCTGGGATGTTTGAAATAAATGCAGGTTCCTAAGCCCCAGACCATCCAAGTCAGAGCTAATGGGGACCAGGCCACAGATCTTCACAATTAATAGAGCTCCAAGTTCTTACCACACTGAAACCTAAGAACTAATGTGGTGGTGGTGAAGAGCTTCTGGATTTGAAGTCAAACTGACCTAGTTCAAATCCCGTATCTACTGTATTACTAGTGACCTTTTTAGAGAAGTCATCTAACCTCTCTAGACCTCTTTGCTCATTGCTAAGGGAATAAAAACAGTACCAACTCTTTAAGGTTGTCTTAAAGGATGATAATGCAGGCCAAGTGCCTAGTGCAAAGCCTGATTTACATGAAGGCTCAATAAAAGTCATTACTGTTTTTGATATATTGTGGTTGGAATATATAGAGATGATGAAAATATTTTTTAGTTTGGTCATATAATGAAACATCAATTCGACACATCATTCTGCATAAAATCTTTATATTCTGAGAATATAGCTGGCTGTGACTGGCTCAGTAGTTTTCAGTCTTACAATGTTTGAAGTGGCATGATTGTCCATGTAAAGTAGTAGGCACCATAGCTTTTGTATCAACTAAGAAAGTTACAGGCCATGTGTTTCTATTAGATAAACGATAATTTATTTAAGGAACTTTCAAATGAGAACTCTCCTAATTAATTTCTTAGACTCACAGTGAAAGGTTCTGACAAAGTACTTTATGTTTTAGTAAATTACATTATCAGACAAAAATATGTCTCTCCCACAGAAGTGTCCTCTCTCCTTTCTCAGAAACAGTAGGCGAATTGTGACCATATGTTCCATGCATTCTCCCAGCTGTAACTCAGCTGTCACTAATGGTATTTATGTGCCCAGGAGCAATAAACCTGTTTTAGGTAAATGTATTTACTCAGTAAAGAACATGAGTTTCTGAAGACCACAATAATAAACTGTCGACAGTACACTAAACAGTGCTTATCCACTCTCTCATCTCTTCATTAAGTTGTGGCTTCCTCCTGGATGTCTAAATGCTCAGGACAATAAACTATACTTGAAAGGACTTCTAGTGCAAAATAAAGATAAACCGACATGACTTCAAGATTACAAACATAATAGAAGGTATTAGCCATCACAGAGGCAGTTTAAAAGCAAATCTTTCATACAGATTACTCATGTAAATGACACCGCAATACATTTCTGCACCTCGGTCCTGCTTCCAGAGTGAGTGATGTAAGCTTTTCCTAAACAATTGCTTCTGTATCTGTTAGGAATAGTTTTAATTGCAAGTTTTAGAGTAATTAACTGTGACTTAAACAATAAAAAGATGTAATTATTTTGCATAAAAAGCAATCTTGAGGAAGGATGTTCACAGCTTTGGTGAACAGCTACCAAAGACTAGACATTTAGGGTTATCTTTCCAGCTCTCTCAGCTTTTTCTCATGATCACAATATGGCTGCAGCAGCATCAAGGTTCCCAGCAAGAGAATGGGGAAAAGAGCAAAAGTGCTTTGTTTTTTTTTAGTTGCCCTTCCAGGAAGGGTAGTGCCTTATTAGATGTATTCTGATTCACCAGACCTGTGTTACCTGTTTACCCCAGTTCTGTCATGGCTGAAGGAGAATGGAGTCATCATGATCACAGTAAACTGATCCTGATTCAATTTTTTTTTTTTTGTTATTGTAATACATTCTCTGAAGTTGAACTTGGAGGCCTGTCTTCTGAAATATTGAGGGAATGCTGCCTGTCCCCTGAATAATCCAGGTTTGTGTTGGCAGCTAAGAAGGGAAATCACCTTTGGCTAGGCAATGAGCAATGAGCAACATCTGCCACTATGCTGTTAATCCCCCAAAGGGCTAGTCTGATGAAATTGTCCATTTTTAAAATGGAAATAGTAGGAATATTTGCCACGCTGACTGCATACAGTTTGGGGAGAATGGATTTATATGCTTTATACACTAAGATGCGTAATTACTGGTTCAATCTTTTAATTTAAACTTTTCTGCTGTTCTCCCTTTGACCTCAATGAATTTGCCTTTCTTCAATAAAATCATCCTAAATGTCTGTTAACCTGTCTATTCCAGTAGGCAAGAAGTCTTCAGTATTGGCTTTTCCCCTGAAGTCAGTAGTAAAGGAAAAAGATGATGAAATTTTACTTAGGCCTGTAGGCTGCTTGCTGTAGGTTACTCTTTCGTCAAATAAATGAGTTGTGTGTCTTGACATAGTGTAGTATGGAATCAGTTTACATTATATTTTATTCTAGCGTCTTGATTAAAAACAAGTTAGCTATCAAGCCCTAATTCATTTTAGGGAGACAAAGTGAATTCATTATACTAAGACTTGGGGAGCATTTCTTGTAAAATAAAACTGTATTATTCACTCAGAAAACACATAGAGCCTAGTGCTGCAGTACATCATTTTTCTATTTTTCCTCTGTCACTTATTAAGTTATGATTCTGTATGTACACGGTACCTTGATTTGTTTAAGTTACATGGATTCTAGGCTGCTTTGTAAATTTCAGGTCTGCATTATGCATGTTTTAATGAAGAATGAACTATGAGTCCTGGGGACAGCTCTGGTTCAGTCTTGTCGCACTTCCAGATGTGCACCTGGTTCTTTATTATGTCTCACAAAGGAAGCTGGTAGGAATCTTTCTGAGAGCATCTCGTTAATGAATCAATTCACAGTAAGATGTATATTTGGGAGAAAAAAAGTAGAATTGTAATTATGGTAATGTGGCAAAATAGCTTAAAAATGGAAAATAAACCAGGAGTCTAGCTGCTGTAATGTGAACATTGTGTTTCTCTTTAATTTGCTGTTGTCTTGGAACCTAGCTGTTTATGCAGTGCTTTCACCTTCTGTTGCTTGTCTAAGTGCCAACTTCTTTCCCAAAGGTGTTCAGTGACTAATGCTTTGGTTACAAGCCAGAACATTTTATAAATGTCTATTTCTGGGCAGCTCTTCTACAAGTCTTAATTAAACTTTAATGTCAAACTAAAGTTTACTTTTAGAACCTCGTAGGTTCCTTTAGCTTTAATATGATTACAGAGTTGTGGGACAGGGAATGTAGGACAGCCTTGTCCCCACACATTTCCTCTCTCCTATTTAATGGTGCCACCAAGCAGATGTGTACGACTTAACCCCAAGGTTTGCCACACAGGCACGAGTAAATCACAGCCATTCCCTAAAATGTTGTGGTAGCACACTGTCACTCAGACTCCTCCACCCTGCAGTGGTGCCCAGGGTTTAGAATTACTGCTTTGTTAGTTATTACACATTCTTCCAGCATATCCAGCTGCTCAAATCAAGGATCCCAACATAGAGATGATACATTTGCAAGTGTTCTTTCATTTCTTCCCCATGTCTGGAGGAGTTGTGAGGATTGAGAGATCATTTTCTCTAATTCTACATGGCTTCTTGGGGTAAAGAACTACATCCTATGCCATCTGACAAAATGAAGCTTCTACTATAGTCAGAATAGTACAAAATAGATATAAAGTAAATATAGTCATATGTTATGTGTTCATTTTGTAATTAATTTACTCATTAATCAGATTGCTTTTTCTGTGAAGGGACAGACAGTATATATTCGAGTCTTTGTGGGACAGAGATCTCTATCCCAACTACTCAGCTCTGTCACTGTAGTGCAGACACACGGCTGTGTTCTAATAGAACTTTATTTTCCAAAGTAGGCAGACATGGCCTTCAGGTGGTGGTTTACAGATCTCTGCTCTATGGTATGCTTGCTTTGTATCTGGAAATTCTAAAATATATTTTTTTTTTATTTAAAAATAGTTCCTTATAGTATGTTTTGTTTTTTAAATATTTTTCAGAATAATTTAGACTGGTTGTCAAAGTTAAGTCAAGAATCAGAGATTTTAAGGAATTAATCCTGGGTTGAAAAATTGTAAGAATCTGCTCCTAGATAGAAACATAAAAATAGATATAAATATGTATATGGCCTATGGAATTACACGTGTGTCCACCAAAACACTGCAATAGTTTCAAAAATGGAAATTGTCCAAAGTCCCATGGATAACTGAAAGGATAAATAAGATGTGGCACATTCATAAAATAGACTGTATTCACCAATAATAATAAACATTTTACCACTACAAGTATCAATATGTTAATCTCACAAAATTTTGAATAAAAGGAGCCATGCAAAATAACAGATTCCCAAAAATTACATATTCAGATACTCAAAGATTATATTACATTTATATAAAATACAAAACTGAGCAAAACCAATTCAGACGATTAAAAATCAAGGAGGGTGGGGCCAATAAAAGGAAGGAAAAAGCCCAAAGAGTTTTTCAGTGGTGCTGCTTTTATTATTTTCCTTGATCTGGGTGCTAGTTTAACACATGTTTTCATCTTATTTAAAAAAAAACTGAGCTGTACAATTAGGATATGTGCATTTTTCTGTGCATGTATTCTGATGTTTAAAACAGAAAAAAAGGAAGAACTGTCAAGCATTAAAGTGCCCAGTTGCTTAGAAGTTACATTATTAGAGTTATAAAAGTGGGGAAAGTGCCCAAAATTATTTTATTTGCATATTCTGAGGTTTATAAGAATAATTCTCAAAAACCATACCACTTCCAGGTTTGCTTTTGCCATGGTCATATGATGCCATTAATTTATAGGTCATTTCAGTAGGTTTATCACCACTAAAACATTAGATTGTCTAGATGGGGTTCAGATCACAACAACGTAATGCTAGATATTTACTTTCTTAGTGAGACATTTGGAATTTGTATACCATCACAGAACAGATAAACATGGCTTAAGGCTATAAGGTGGCTATAAGGTGATGGTATTTATGCTGCTTCTTTGGTAGACTTCTGTCAGTCAATAACTTATCCATTAGTTTCCCCAGTTTTTTCTGACATGTTGCTTGGACACCACCAAATCCTTCTTTATTTTTAATACAGACATGTATATACCTGCATATATTATTTGAACACTGTGTTGTTAGGCTCTGAGAAAGCATGCTAATCATGATCCAGCATCTTCTCCCCACGACAAATTAGTCTAGTGGTGAGAGAAACCAGATAGAAACTTGACATTGTGAAAATATTGCCCAGTGTGCTTTGGGAGAGGGAAAAGCTGCCGCCTTACACTGTTAGGGGAAAGCAGTGCAGAGTGAAGGTGGTTAACAGGGAGTTCTGGCTGGAACCCAGCTAAGAATTATTGACATCCAAGTTAAGTCTTGAAGAATAAGTACAAATCAGATGCATAAGGAGAAGATGTTGATGTCGGAGAGCTAGTTTGAAGAAAGAGGCAAAACATCCTGGTGTATTAGATGCCTGTTTGTAGATAAATATGACTGAAACAAAAGAATAAATTGTGCAGTGAAAGTGAAGCAGGGGCCAACTCTGGAGGGCCTCTGTGTCATGCTAAGGAATTAGAACTCCTGTCTTGAAGGCAATGTAAGGTACTAAACAGACACCATTACCTAGTTTGCTTTCTTGAAAATGTCCCTCTGGCAATATGAAGATTGGATTAAAGGAGAAAAGAAGGACTTGAGACAGAGAAGTCAATTAATAACCCAATCCAAGTATTTTAGGTTCAATCATAATATTTTCAGACTTAAAAATCTTTCTTGAGGCAGCCAATTTAAATAACCATTGTAGTAGGGAAGGAAAAGTATCATGTCTTCACTACTGCAGGCAAAAATGGTTTCCTTTTCTGGTTTCCCAGAGTACTCTGTGCATAACTTTTGCTCACTTATGGGTTTTTTTTTGTTTTGTTTTGTTTTTGTTGTTGTTTTTTTGCATTTATTTATACATCTGTCCTTTATCAGCTGTAGGAAGGAGTGAAGCGTGTTGGTATTTGGGAACAATGAACTTAGTGCCTGATTTATTGTATAGAAAGTTTCAGTTATATTCAGTCATTCATGAATCTTTAAGTAATGCTTAAAAGCAGAAATTGTTAAACATGTTCTTAAACTCTGTCCTTACGTACTCTATCTTTAATCAATTCACAAAAAAATTCCTACTGTATCTTTAGTATTTCCATAGTTTATTCAAACATTAATCTTCTATACAAATGTTGATTCAAATGGCATAATTTAAACATTATTGAAGAAACTTTCTAAATTCTGCAGTGCTAGGTGAATATATATATATATATATATATATATATATATATATATATATTTATCCCCACTGGATATTTTGCTTTGGGTCACATACTTCTCTACTTTGAGCTAATTTTTCCAAATTTTAAATTCCTAGATATCTAAGAACTTCTGTCTTTGGGGAAAGTTAATAAAATAACATGCTGTAACTGAAAGTTTTCCTACAGCACCTAGCTGTTCTGTCTTTGGGGAAAGTTAATAAAATAACATGCTGTAACTGAAAGTTTTCCTACAGCACCTAGCTGTTCTGACCCTCTCAATGGGAAAAGAATGAACTGTGTAGAAATTTGAAATTGTTTCAAGACTATAGAGCATTCTAGCTGTGGCCTTTGAATAAGTTCCTTATGCCTCAAATACTTCATATTTGAAACATTCTAAGGATTTCGTACAGTATACATAAGCCAGATCTTCACTGAATGGTAAGTAGTATGGGATTGGATGACTGAGGCTTAAAAATGCTAAATTACTGCCCACCCAGAAGAACTGCCGGCAGTGCCAGGACTTGAACTCACGCATATGTGTGGATTTGCAGTAATCTATACTTTGTAATACACAGGAGGATGAAGCATTTTTCCAATTCTGTTTTTAACTTGGCCTGGTTATTGATGAAGGTGACCAGCTACTTCAGAATTTAATTTTAGTCCAATGGATTTTAGTGCCATGCACTTGCTGGGAGACGTAGTTGTTCTTCCTCATGCCTTGCTCAATTCTAGAAAGCATTCCTTCTAGTCTTCTCCTTTTCTACCAGTTCTGTCCATTTTCCTCCCTTGGTTCAGGCAGCAGCTGATTCAATGTCTATTTTAGGCTTATAAGAAAAGAAAAAGTGATTTGCCTTTAAAAAATGTTGTAAAATAATAAGGAAAATGTTAAAATTACAGAAGCGACAGGTTAAGCAGAAAAGAAAAAAGAAAATACACCAGTTTAATTATAGCTAACAAACTTTTCTTGGGTGTCTGAATTTCCCAAAAACATGAGAAGGAGTTCTTTTTAATACGAGTTTACATCTTCTTGCATTGGGTCAATCCCATAATTGTTTTTCCAACTTAGTAAGCTGTGTTCAGCATAAATCATATATATACTTGTGTACATATATGCAGAGAGAGAGAGGGATGTTTATTTCCTATACAAGAACTAAATAATATTACTTCATCTTTAGGCCCCATGAAAATAAAACCCATATTGCTGTTGGGAGTATGAAGACATTAATGTTGAATGTGTCCTTGTTTAATGCTGGAGATGATGCATATGAAACTACTCTACATGTCACACTACCCATGGGTCTTTACTTCATTAAGATTTTAGAGCTGGTAAGTACTGTAAACCACAATAGCATGATACTACTTAGTATTTTACTTTGTTTTTTAAAAAGTAAATGGTAGAATTCACTTCATTGATTTGGGGTATAAGTCTTAATGTTTAGGATCTTAATTATTTTCAGACTTCCTCCGTGCCCCTGCTCAGAATGGCAAGTTCTTGGGTCTTAAGTCCAAAGGCATTAACCTCCTGTTTTCCAGTGCTAGGAGTAGGAGGAAGCTGCCTGGCTGCTTTTACATTCTCACTGCTGTAGCCAGCACGTCTGATGTCAGAACAGTGATGATGTCTGCCCCTTGATTGTGGTCCTTGAACAAGTAACCTTGGTCCTTCATGCCGGGCTCCAGAGTTACTGTTCTTTATTTTAAGGTTACATTCAGACAATTAATGTAATCTCTATCCCTTATCAAATTAACTCATCTTTTGTCCAGGAACCACACCTTCACACCAAGAGCGACCCTCAACCTCTCACAAATATCTACTAACTTCTTTCTGTAGAACATTTAAAACCTACTTGCAAAAGGAAGAGTGGAAACTCAAATATTCAGGGACTGTATTTTACAAATATTTTATACTTGCTGCCATTATAACCTCATTACACCTATTGAGATTATCACTATTTTAATTAAATACATTAAACACATTCTCACATACTAGACAGAGAAGGCCATTAAAATATGAACCTAATAGATTTCTTGCCTCATGATTCTTCAAGGAATTTAGATCTTGGATTAAATAGGGAATATACCAAGATGAATAAAACAAGTCCAGAAATTTTTTGTGGAGAATCTGTTTGAATACTATGGTATACCTGTATGCATATACAAACACATTCATGTATCATTTATTTATATTTCTATTAATCTCAAACATAAATAGAAAATAGTTTCCCTGGGAAAGCAAATACTTCTGAGATATTATTCTTTTCAGTAACCATCCTTAAACATATGTTACAAACTTTTTATCTCCTTCCTGTCCAAGCCAGTTGTTTGATTTTTCCCATCAGGAAGAGAAACAAATAAACTGCGAAGTCACAGATAACTCTGGCATGGTAAAACTTGACTGCAGTGTTGGCTATATATATGTAGATCATCTCTCAAGGGTAAGTGTTGCACATTTATGGCTTTTGTTCACTATCATGAATATTTTTTATACTTCCCTATCTTCATGTTGCGTATAAAATATTATATATATTTTAGCTTAAAGTAGGTAGCTGAGTGATGAAATAAAACTGGTTCTTGAAATCTTTGAGCTTTGTGTTTATATTTTTGGCAATGTTCACTGTTTTAAAGGCAGGGGCTGCATACGTGTCAATCAGAATTCTCCCCCTACACACCCTTCCCCAACACCCCTCACCCACACCCCCACCCCCACCCCAGGTGGTCCTGTCTGCCAGGCATGTTATCTTTGCTATACAAAAAGGTGTTTTTGGCAAGAGTCTTCGCTCAAGTTGTGAAAGCATTTCTAATTTTGTCAGTCTGGACTTGCCTGCATTCACATTTGGAGAAGGCTTTGTCTTTGAATGTTACTTGTGGAAATGCATGTAGTCTAAAATTACCACAAACCCAGCAACTTCCCTGAATCTTACTGCCAATTGAGAAGTAGCCAATGCCTCTAGAATAGGTTCAATTCGACATTCCATAGAACAAAAACTTTTAAGAAAAAAATTTCAGATGATAAAAAAATGCACTTAAGATTTTTTTTTTAATGGACTTTCCTGTTCTGTGTTTTACAGATAGATATTAGCTTTCTCCTGGATGTGAGCTCACTCAGCAGAGCAGACGAGGACCTCAGTATCATAGTGCATGCTACCTGGTATAGTTTATTGTAAAGTTTAAAAAAAAAAAAAAAGTACTAGAAGAAATGTACTCCCATATTTTGAAGGGGAAATTAAGAAAACCATGAAACACTGTTCCATTAATTGTAAGAGAAAACGTCTCTTGCATGTTCTGTTTTTTAAAAAACCAAACAACCACAACAAACTCCTCTATCTAGCACTAGAAGCAAATGATAACAGTTTAAATGATGAAATTTTCTGCCAACCTTGTCCTAAAATTTTTTTACTACCACATCTGCTTTTATCCCCATTCCCCAACAAGCATTTACACAAACCTCTGAGTATATTAGGTATAGAGGGTATGTAATTAGTTGCCTCTAAAGATGGTTTTTCTGCTTGGTGAATTCTAACAGCGTGTTTTCTATTTGTGTAGTGAAAATGAAGGGGAAGTGGGCAATCTGAAGCGTAACAGAGTGACTGTAGCAATACCTTTAAAATATGAGGTTACACTAAGTGTTCATGGGTAAGTAGACAGAAAGGCCTCCTTTCAAATTTAGAGCTGATTTTCAGTTTCATTGCTTCTTATATTAATGAAAAACCTGTATTCTAGATTTTTTAAATAAAGGATACTATACTGTTTCTATCTCTGAATAATTATCTTGTTGTTATGGTCCTTTGCTTAGCTGTCCATTATAATAATCCACTCTGTAATCATCACTGATACTACATCAAACTAGTGCCCAGTTGGAGGAGATTTCTTCCTGGGAGAGCCCAAATAAGCTAGTAAGGCCACAGTGAGACTTCAGTTGTGCACTATGCCATTCATGGGCACCTAGAATTAAGCAATGTGCAGCTTTCATAATCATACTCAATGCCCATGTGAAGTCTAAAGTGGGAACTTGCCCAAATCACTATTCTGCAGTCCCATATCTACATATGTGACAAACGGATTGAGATGTGAGGGATCTGGCTGCAAGGTGTCTGTTGTCCTCTTTTTATACCTATGGGATCACTGAGTTCCTCAACCACAGCCCAAGTACCAGAATTCATTGCATCCTCATTATTTTAATGATTGACTTGATCCCCTTCTCATTCAAGGAAATGTGTAGAGAAAGAAAGGGCCTTATGAAAATCTTCAGTAATTCCACTGGAACTTATTCATGCTGCAAGTCTTTAAAACTACATTTTTATACAATAAAATATATGAGTTACAGAACAAATAGACAGATGAGCCTTTACTGTTGCTCTAAATCTAAACCATCCCCCAGTTATTTTATCCACTTAGAAAGGTGATATACAACCATGTAAATGTAAATTGTCAGTGTCTGAAGCTGATGGGATTGTCAACTTTGTGAGATAAAGCCAACAGGAGGAGAAAAAAAAGCCATTCACAGGAGAGTAAGACCTAGAGAATCACGAGTAAGCAAATAAAAGTTCATTGCATGGTTTCTGGATGTTCAACTTTTATCTTGCCACTCCTCCTGGCTTATGAGTGCCTTCCTATTTTTCTGTTACTCACATCTCATTATTTTGAACAAGTGATGTTCACCTATTGAACTGCCTAAATCTATGCTATTTGAATTTGATTTCTTTCCTGTTGCATGGGTTTCTAATTTGGGATTACCTAGTATTAGCTGCCAAATGTGAGCACCTTATGGAGTGGAGGTCTCTATAGAGACATGTTTCTTAAAGTTTATTGCAGATAAAAATGTCAAATCACAGGCCTAAGGAGTGACAGCCTTGTATTCTAACGAAAAATGTATCATACTTAACAGTGTTAGACTTGTTCCCCAGACTTGGGGTTCTTTGTAAGTAGCCAGCAGGGATAATGAGATGGAAAGAAATGACTTCAAAATGGGTAGCATAAATTGAGTTATAAGAGCCCTAGGAAAAAGCCAATATGTAATTTATCCCACATTTGCCAAATTTAAATGAATCACTTAAGGGCTGAAAGAGAAGGACTGTTCAGTAGAATGAACAAGGTATAGTGTTGTGGAAGGCAAGAAAAGAATATTAGTGAGGACAGATATTGTCACCCAGGTCAGAGCACATGGCCTTCTAATTTAATTTCTTTTTAAATATAATCTGTATATGGCCATAAAACCAAAAGTATTTCATGGTGCCTTATAAATATGCTATAATCCAGTCTATAGAAAAAGATTCTTTATAACACATCATTGAATAAGACAGTTAATTACATTTGAATTTGTTTCCACCAGGTTTGTAAACCCAACTTCATTTGTGTATGGATCAAATGATGAAAATGAGCCTGAAACATGCATGGTGGAGAAAATGAACTTAACTTTCCATGTAAGAAAAGCTAATTGTGTGGATATTTGTAAAAACCTAAAAGGATATCACTGATGCATTTCCCCAAGAGACAGTGTACACTTATCATGTCCCTCAGCCTCTGTAGACCATGGCTGGCTAGAGGGGGGCTGCAGCAGGGGTACTTCCTGCCTCTCAGACCCCTACTGCATTCTTTCCACTTGTCTCGTCCCTGGTATTCAAGCCCATATCCCCTTACAGGACAAGTGAGAAAGAGCATGCGGTAACAGAGATAATGCTTGAAACAGGCAAAGTTATGGGATGAGCTGACTTTGCTAGAGATGTATACAGAAAACAGGACAAGCCAATGGAATGCATCTTTGGGTGCAAATCAGTGAAATTTCTTCTTGGTTGAAACCTTATAAAAGCCTTAACGCTACAAAGTAAAGCAGGTTCTTACCGCCCATCTCCATTTAAGGTCACGTGGGTCAGCCTTTCAAGCCATAAGTTTATGACCTGTGATAAGTGCTTTATCAATTATTAAATAAATTTTAGAGAGTACTATCATTATTCAGAAGTATTTGGAGACTGATGTAAAGCTGTTTTTAAAAACATTTTTGGAGAAATGCCAGATGTAGGTGACAGGGGATGGAGGCAGCAAACCACATTGCCATGTGTGTACCTATGCAACAATCCTGCATGATCTGCACATGTACCCCAGAACCTAAAGTACAATAAAAAAAAAAAAAATTAATGTAAAACTGAGATTTTTGTGGTATCAAAGATGTTGGTGATTAGTAAATAATTTCAAAAATATATACTCTTTGAACCAAAAGCACTGTCCAAGCATTCTTATAGAATAATCTATAGATGTGAATGAATCTTGGATTAGGTATAATATTTTGTAAGACAATGCTTTTCAAAATGTGTACTAGAATTACTTGGGCTACATATCCAAAATGCAGATTCCTGGGCCTTGCCCCAGATCTGTGGAAAAAGAATGACCTTGAAATCCTATTGATTCTATGTATACTCCAGTTTTTGTTACACTAGTTAATACTAATGTTGAAAAATTTTAGTCCTCTACTTTGAAATCCCAAGAAATGCCCTCTAAAACCCAATGGGAGTTTGTGCTTTGACAAACTAAAACAGAAACCAAACTGGGCTCTAGAATGTTTATTAATTTATAATTAATACTTAAGTATTTTCTACTGAATTTATAATGTAGTGCCTGGGACTGGAGAAATTTGCAGTATATAGGATTTCTGTGTCTGACCAACTATGTAGATTTGTTCTTAGAGGTCTAATTGTTGTTAGGCAAACAAGAGATGATTGTGATTTAGATATTTAGTGGCATCGAGAAGACCTTGTCTGTAGTACTGGGCACTGCTAGGTATCTGTTGCTGACATTTCCTTCTGCAACTGCCCTGTGCTTTTATGGATTAGCAATTACCACCTGTTCCCAGTTTAGAGACATTTACTTTCTTCACTATGTCACATGCATTCAAAAAATGACTGCAGGTCTGCCAAGTCTTTTTTAATCGAGGTATTGAGATGCATCTCTTTCTGACTTACTGTGTTGGTTTTATAGTTAAACTGCCAGTTCAGTAGGCTATATTTTGGCCCCATTTCCTTTTTCAGGAATCTTCAATCCCCAGATTTATCATCCTCATGCATTTTTTGAACAATATTGTTAAAAACCTGTTGTGCTTTCTCAAAGCCCAACAACATACTCTTCTAATTTTCTGAAAGTGGTTCCTGAATACAAATACATTTTTATTCACTTTCTCCAGCTGCTTATCCTCTCAGCACAGAGTGATTGTGTGATAGCATCATAGGATTTAGAATTACAATACCTGAGTTTTGGTCATAATTCTTGCCATTTTTAAACTTTTGTCTTGGGAACACTAAGAACACCTGTTAGTATTTTCCTTAGCTGATGAATAGTAAAATATTGGCCTGCCCCATGAAAGCCAAATGATCATATTTTTAATATATGTGATGTAACATACAAATATACATATTGTTTATGTCTCCTAAGACTGTTTCTCCAATAAACCATCAGCCTATATATTTTGGTCTCAACAACACCAAAACTAGGAGGTTAGAAATAATGACTCATTTGAAATAATTAGCAAACTTTAAAAATTCTGTCAATATCTTAAATTCTAACTGTGGACATCCTGTCTCCCTTTATTGTGCAGCTGCCAACTATAAACCTACACCAGTATAAATGTTGCATGGAATATATGGGATCACCTAAAAGCTCATTGATATCTGTACTTATGTTTATAAAAAAACATTTACTTTGTTAAAATTTTTTCCTTATTATCAGGTTATCAACACTGGCAATAGCATGGCTCCCAATGTTAGTGTGAAAATAATGGTACCAAATTCTTTTAGCCCCCAAACTGATAAGCTGTTCAACATTTTGGATGTTCAGGTAAAAAAAAAAATGTATTTCTTCCACCTAACCTTTATTATGTGTCTTAAATACTAAAATAAATGTAAACCAGTCCTTTATTCAAGTAAATACTAAAATAAATGTAAACCAGTCCTTTATTCAAGTAATGATGCTAAAATGGATAATTGTTATCTTCAGTCACACTCTAAGCTATGAATTCACATGCATTTATTAAATTATGCTTTGAATATTATACATTTCATTAAAACTACAGAATTACAGTGGAACTTTTACATTTGACTTTTACAATAACAGAATTATGTTCTATCTTCATTGAATAATTATTTTAAGAGTCATTTTTATGTGATATGGACCTGTAGAAGTAACTTGATTGGTAGAATTCTTCATAGAACTTGAAACCACTATTCAAAGATGAAGATTATAGCCTTTTTTTTAAGGGAGCATTATTCAAACCACTTCTTAAGAACCAATATTTTTGCACTGATGATTCCATCAGAATTGTTTTGAGCTTGTCAGCTTGAAGACAAGTCAACACATCTACTAAATAGGTTTGAGGTGTGATTTTTGAAAATCTTAAATTCCAGATTTAGAGAGAAGGATATGGTGTTACACTGTTTTGCTTATAAAGGCAAATATTTAATTTCATGCTAATGTTCTAATATCATTATTCACATTTCTGTAAGGTGTAGGTCATTTTATCAGCTTAGAACCTATATCCAACCCTCTGTAATTGGGCTGGGTTTTTGTGTTTTTGCCACAGACATTTAATCACTCCCAAATATGTCAAAAAATTCCACAATTTCAGAAGTACTTGATGTATTTTAGTAAAGATAAGCTATTGGAACTTTTAAAACCATGTTGCTTTTTGCTGTTTTTTTTTTTTTTTTTCCAATGTCAAAAGATAAGAATTCTCTTGCTTTCTATCTTCATAGACTACTAATGGAGAATGCCACTTTGAAAATTATCAAAGAGAATGTGCATTAGAGCAGCAACAAAGTACAATGCAGACCTTGAAAGGCATATTCCAGTTCTTTTACAAGACTGATAAGAGGCTATTGGTAAGTTTGAATTTTTTAGGTTGTAGTTCTTGCTTTTTGACAGAAAAGTGAGACACTTAAAATCAAGTCAATGGGTTTGAGCAGTCACTCCAATGATAAGAGAGAAGACAAGTTTAGTTAGTATTCTTGCATGAAAGGAACAAACACAATTGGAGAGTTGAGATAGACCCAGAGTTTATCCCCTATATAAATATGTTGGCTGGGTGCAGTGGCTCATGCCTGTAATCCCAGCACTTTGGAAGGCCGATGTGGGGTGATCCCAAGGTCAGGAGTTTGAGACAAGCCTGGCCAATATGGTGAAACCCTGTCTCTACTAAAAGTGCAAAAATCAGTCGGGCGTGGTGGCAGGTGCCTGCATTCCTAGCTACTCGGGAGGTGGAGGTTGTAGTGAGCTGAGATTGCATTGCTGCACTCCAGCCTGGGCAACAGAGCAAGACTCCATCTCAGAAAAATAAATAACTAAATAGACACACACACACACACACGTTATACATTGTACAGTTTCATTTTTTTGTCTAACAACTGCTATTTACCAACAACACATTGTTCCAGACCCTTGGGCAACCTTTGTGGCATGAGAATTTTTATTGTTTTCATCTTAGTGACTTTATGAAAAGAAACTGGATAAGCAATCATCACCTTGAAATAACCCACGTTTATAACAAACATAGAATATGTAACTTAGGAAGACTCTGATTAGGAACCTTTAAAAAAAAAAAACTGTCCCAGAAGATTTTTAATACAAATAAGAACATATGCTCCAGTTTAAATACTTTAATATAATTTACAAAATAAACATTCATGTCTTGTTCAAAGATAATTTTTAAATACCAAGGAAAGCAGATGTTCAATTTCATATTTATAGAAAGATAATTATCAAAATGCTATTAGAGTATATATTAAATTCTATATAAAATATTTTTAAAATATTTTCCAATGTTGAAAATTTTAATGTAGCACTTTAATATTCCTTTCAAGTACTGCATAAAAGCTGATCCACATTGTTTAAATTTCCTGTGTAATTTTGGGAAAATGGAAAGTGGAAAAGAAGCCAGTGTTCATATCCAGTTGGAAGGCCGGCCATCCATTTTAGAAATGGTAAGTCTTTATAGTAGAATGATTTATAATCCTTTGGATATATACTCAGTAATGGGATTGCTGGGTCAAATGGGATTTCTACACAAGAGCAGAAAATCAAACACCGCATGTTCTCACTCATAGGCGGGTGTTGATCAATGAGAACACATGGACACAGGGAGGGGAGCACTACACACTGGGGTCTGTTCAGGGGAAATGGCGGGGGTGGGGAGGTGGGAAGAGATAGCATGGGGAGAAATGACAGATATAGGCGAGGCGACGGAAGGCAGAAAACCACACTGCCATGTGTGTACCTATGCAACAATCTTGCATGTTCTTCACATGTACCCCAAAACCTAAAATGCAATAAAAAAAAAAAAAAGAAATGGTAAGTCTAAAATACATTGACAACTTGGTTCAGTCATATAGGCAGGATAGTTTGAAGGCATTCAACAAACTAAGGTTTAAATAAAATTTTGGAGTAAAACTCAACTATTTCTAACACGTCAATTAGCTACACTAAATAAGTAGAATGGCTTTAGTAATTAACAGGTAATAAAGACTAAAATAGGCCAGGCACAGTGGCTCACACCTGTAATCCCAGCACTTTGGGAGGCCAAGGCAGGACAATCATTGGAGGGCAGGGGTTCAAGACCAGCCTGGCTAACATGGTGAAACCCTGTTCCTACTAAAAATACAAAAATTAGCCAGGTGTAGTGGCCTGTGCCTATAGTTCCAGCTACTCCAGAGGCTGAGGGATAAGAATCACTTGGAGGCTGAGGTTGCAGTGAGCCAAGATCATGCCACTGCACTCCAGTCAGGGCGACAGAGTGATACTCTGTCTCAAAGAAAATAAAAGGACTAAAATAGATTATGGAAAAATTAAAATGTTTATTTTAGAAAGCATGCACAACTGCCTATGAAACTTATTAAATTAAATTGACTGCCTTACATTTCATACACCTTTAAATTATTTTCAAATTGCTTCAAACTGTCTTTAAAATCTAATACACACACACACACACACACACACACACACACACACACACTTTTTAAGCTCTGGGATACATGTGCAGAATGTGCAGGTTTGTTACATAGGTATATATGTGCCATGGTGGTTTGCTGTGCCTATCAATCTCTCATCTTGGTTTTAATCCCCACATGCATTAGGTCCTAATGCTATCCCTCCCTCACCAAAACCCCAATCCCTAACAGGTCCTAGTGTGTGATGTTCCCCTACCTGTATCCATATGTTCTCATTGTTCAACTCCCACTTATGAATGAGAACATGCAGTGGTTTTCTGTTCTTGTTAGTTTGCTGAGAATGTTGGCTCCCAGCTTCATCCATGTCCCTTCAAAGGATGTAAACTCATTCTTTTTTATAGACGCATAGTATTCCATGGTGTATATGTGCCGCATTTTCTTTCTCAAGTCTGTTGTTGATGGGCATTTGGGTTGGTTCCAAGTCTTTGCTATTGTAAACAGTGCTGCAATAAACATACCTGTGCATGTGTCTTTATAGTAGAATGATTTATAATCCTTTGGGTGTATAACCAGTAATGGAATTGCTGGGTCAAATGGTTATTTCTGGTTCTAGATCCTTGAGGAATTGCCACACTGTCTTGCACAATGGTTGAACTAATGCACACTCCCACCAACAGTGTAATGTTCCTATTTCTCCACAGCCTCACCAGCATCTGTTGTTTCCTGACTCTTTAATAATCACCATTCTAACTGGCATGAGGTAGTGTTTCATTACAGTTTTGATGTGCATTTCTCTAAGACCAGTGATGAGTATTTTTTCATGTTTGTTGGCCACATAAATGCCTTCTTTTGAGATGTGTCTGTTCATATTCTTCACCATTTGATGTGGGTTTTTTTTTCCTTGTAAATTTAAGTTCCTGTAGATTCGGGATATTAGATCTTTGTGGGATGGGTAGATTGCAAAAATGTCCTCCCAGGTTGCCTGTTCATTCTGATACTTTGTTTTGCTGTGCAGAAGCCTTTTAATTAGATCACATTTATCAGTGTTGGCTTTTGTTGCAATTGCTTTTGGTGTTATAGGCATGAAGTCTTTAACCATGCCTATGTCCTGAATGGTATTGCCTAGGTTTTCTTCTAGGGTTTTTATAGTTTTGGGTTTTACATTTTATTCTAATTCATCTGGAGTTAATTTTTGTAGAAGGAAGGGGTCCAGTTTGTTTTCTGCATATGGCTAGCCAGTTTTCTTAGCACCGTTTATTAAATAGGGAATCCTTTCCCCACTGCTTGTTTTTGTCAGGTTTATAGAAGATCAGATGGTTTTAGATGTATAGTGTTATTTCTGAGGTCTCTGTTCTGTTCCATTGGTCTATATATCTGTTTTGGTACTAGTATCGTGCTGTTTTGGTTATGGTAGCCTTGTTGTATAGTTTGAAGTCATGTAGCATGAGACCTCCAGCTTTATTTTTGCTTAGGATTTTCTTGGCTATACAGGCTCTTTATTGGTTCCATATGAAATTTAAAGGTTTTGTTTTGTTTTTTTTTTTTTCTAATTCTGTGAAGAAAGTCTATGGTAGCTTGATGGAATAGCATTGAATCTCTAAATTACTTCGTCATTATAGTCATTTTCATGATGTTGATTGTTCCTATCCATGACCATGCAATGTTATTCCATTTGTGTCCTCTCTTATTTCCTTGAGCAGTGGTTTGTACTTCTTGACGAGGTCCTTCACATCCCTTGTAAGAATGGGAATTCACTCATGATTTGGCTGCTTTTCTGTTGTTGGTATATAGGAATGCTTCTGATTTTTGCACATTGATTGTATCCTGAGACTTTGCTGAAGTTGCTTGTCAGCTTAAGGAGTTTTGGGGCTGAGACTATGGAGTTTTCTAAATATACAATCATGTCATGTGCAGACAGACAATTTGACTTCTTCACTTTCTATTTGAATACACTTTCTTTCTCTTGCCTGATTGCCCTGGACAGAATGTCCAATTCTATGTTGAATAGGAGTGGTAAGAGGGCATCTCGTCTTGTGCTGGTTTTCAAAGGGAATGCTTCCAGTTTTTGCCCATTCAGTATGATATTGGCTATGTTTGTCATAAATAGCTTATTATTTTGAGATATGTTCCATCAATACCTAGTTTATTGAGAGTTTTTAGGATGAAGGGATGTTGAATTGTATTGAAGGTCTTTTATTTTAAAAATATAGTTAACAAGAAAAACTAAAGCTTTCATGAAATCATCAACAAAACATTTCATCTTTAAAAATAATAAATATTGGACTTCTTCCTGGAAAGGAGCATGTATATTTAAGGAATAGTTTGAGATAAAACTAATGTTATCTGGAGTTTTGCTTTTCAGCTTCCTCATCTGTTCAATTTGAATAAATGAGATGATTTTTATAAGCACTTAGTAATAGTTCATGGCACAAAGGAAGCTGAAGGAAATAGCAGCTGTTATGTTTCAAGTTGGATTTTTGAAATTACCAAACAGTAATTACGATGAAGATCTTCTAGACAGGCAAAGAAGAAACATCCATTCTAGTTTCAACTGTGCTGAAAGTGAAGTCATTAGACCATCAGGAAGTCATTTAACCTTTTGCAATTTGCCTTCTCTTTCTCTCTAGGTCTAGGTTTCCCCTCAGTGGCCATAATTGGCATTTTGGACTAGATATTGTTGTTGTCAGGGGCTATCCTGTGCATTGTAGGATATTTGGTAGCATCCTCAGCCTCTACACACTCACTGCTGGTAGTACCACCTCTCACATTCTGACACTTGACAGTTTCTTCAGACGTTCCTGACTGGCCCTTAGGTGATAAAATCCTCCCTGCTGAGAACCAATGGCTCTAGCTCTGTATGAAGCTTGTCATTTATTGTCGGCTCTAAAATGTTAAATCACATTTGCACAGTAGTTTTAAAGGTCATATCCCTCTTAAAGAGTCTGACTAAAGAATATATTCTCATCTCCCTCAGCAAATGCAGACATGAAAACATCTCCTGAAGATTCTTAGAACTTGTAAGGTGCATCTGCGGATACCCAAGCTCCATGGATTTGGGGTTTTAAAGTCCTTGCTTTAGATAGTAAAGTTCTGAGTTCATCCACTGATTTTATATTTGAATTCCATACATGTATTTAATGTAGAAAGAAATAAAAAGCCCAAACAAGATAGATTCAATATGCGGTGGCAGGGTGGAGAACATTGGTAACTATTAACTTGCTGTTGTCTAATAAATATTTAAATCAAGTAATTTGCAGGGTAGCTATGTTTAATCAAAGAATTTCAATGAAATACTATATAAATTAATACCTAAACCATACTTTGGGAACCAAAGGAAGCACTGCAGTTAATTTTAAGTATTGAAGCAAATTGGGGAAGATAAATTGTGGAAACCTCTAATAGAAGGTAAAGATCTTGATAAATTATTTCTATTAATAGTCCTCATGAAATAAATCAGGCTATGGTGATCTATTATTAAACAGGATGAGACTTCAGCACTCAAGTTTGAAATAAAGGCAACAGCTTTTCCAGAGCCAAACCCAAGAGTTATTGAACTAAACCAGGATGAGAACGTTGCGCATGTAAGATTACCCTCTTAACTGCTACGTTAAAATTATAGGAAACACATGCCAAGGGTGTCTGTTTACAATTATTTCCTGTTGAATAACTGAGTTGGGAAAGTAGAGTGTGACCAGCTCACAGAGGGCCCTCAATGCTCGATTGAGAGTTGGCATTTTCCACAACTGGCACGAGGGAATGATACAGCAGTTCTTTTAGAGAGGTGAACTGGGCAGCAGTGAGCATTGGATAGACTGGAGGAACAGTCATGGATAGAGCCCATCATACTCAGTGTTTCTGCTAAACAGTTACCAGTGTTTCCTGTGGTTATATTAGAACCAGGAAGAAAATGGGGTGGGAGGTTCTAAATATTATTGGGGATTATGGCAGGGCTTTAAAGGAAATATAAGCAAGTTTTTAAACTGTCTGGGTTTTTTTGCTTTTTAAGCTTTTTCTTAATTCATGTAGGTTCTACTGGAAGGACTACATCATCAAAGACCCAAACGTCATTTTACCATAGTGATTATTTCAAGTAGCTTGCTACTTGGACTTATTGTACTTTTGTTGATCTCTTATGTCATGTGGAAGGTAAGCTTTTAAGAATTACGAGCGTTAAACTACTTAAAGTGACATTATTTTCTCAAAGCCAGTTTCTGGTTTTCAAGTTAAATATTTCAGTATTTTAATGTTAATTTTTTATGTTGCTCAGTAGTGATCTCACATTTCTCTTCAACACCAAAGTCTTTCTAGAAAAATATGCCTTCTTAATTTGTTTTGAAAGCTGTTCCTTTTAAAAAAGCATTTGGAAAAGACTGCAAATTACACTGAATATCAATTTTGGAGAGAATGTGGCATATATCACTGAGAATTTCTGCATTAAAAACAAATGTTTTTTTAGTCCCCAACTAATTACCTGTTAAAAATTTTAGTAATTAGTCCCCAACTAATTACCTGTTAAAAAACCGTTATGATGCTATGAGGGACACAGTTTAAGAAATATTGGTGTTAACTGCTTAGATACTAGAAATGAGTATAGTAGATAAGAGTGTTCATAATTATACACTAGTGATTATGTAATGCTATTTTCAGGCTGGCTTCTTTAAAAGACAATACAAATCTATCCTACAAGAAGAAAACAGAAGAAACAGTTGGAGTTACATCAACAGTAAAAGCAATGATGATGATTAAAGACGTCTTTCAAATTGAGAGAATGGAAAACAGACTCAGGTTGTAGTTAAGAAATTTCAGACACTGTTTACAAGAAAACATGAATTTTTCTTGGGCTTGTTTTACTCATCATCTTGTGACATACTATGTCTTCATGCAAGGGGAAAATCTTACCAATGATTACTCTTTGAGAAAGAACTGCCAAGGTAATAATAGAGCCAAAGATAATCTCTCAGCTTTTAAATGGGTAGAAAAACACTAAAGCATTCAATTTATTCAAGAAAACTAAACCCTTGAAGATATCCTGAAAGTGTATCTGAGTTGAATCATATTGGAGAAGTCTTAGACTTGAAATATTTTTCCTTTCAAAGAAATACTACTTACTATATGTGGTTGCCTTGGTAAGAGGTTCATTTCAAATACATCTTTGAGACTTGTTCAAAATATGTTCTTTAAAAATATTTAGTAGAATTTTTTAAGAGAGCTGTTCCCAAATTTTCTAATGAGTGGCAGTAGACCATTATCACTTTAAAGCCTTTTATTTATAAGACATTTCCTATGGGCTTTGCTCGAACCATTATTTTTAGCAGAGTGTGAATATTATAGGCCTACTGGGCAATATTCAGACTGAACTTGTACACTGGTGTGAGCTTAATGAAATGACTTCTAGATAATTATTTTTTATACAGCTATGGATTTTCCCATTTTTCTGTATATATAATGTGTGTTTATGTAAATATATATTATGCTTCCTATAACACAGATTTATCAAGCATACCTAGGAGTAAATAGTTAAGAACCATCTTCAAATGTTTTGTTATTTAAAAAAGGTACGTAAATATTCAAATTTATATGCTGAAACAAAGGAGTGTGAGTGTTGCACTTTAGCCAATATACACTGATTTAAAAAATATGGAAACCTCACCTCACTAATAACTTTTTAAAAACCAAAGTGGTGCAAAGACTAAGTAGGGGGTCTATACTTTATACATGTACTGTGTAAAATATTGACTATCACACAAATATTTGCTTGGATGTTACAGTTTGTTACTCTTTTCAAATGTAAGTGTTCCCTTGCATGAAAATGGAGAAACAAAAATCATAAATTTAGCTGAAAGATGCTGATTCAATTCGTATACAATGAATATAAAAGACATCAAAATTTCCATGAAATGTTAAGTGACAGCTAAAGTATATTTATAGTTTGTTTGTATTCTATGAAGTTCTATATTTTAAATGAAATGACTTTCTGGATTTTAAATAATTTAAATACCTTTCATTTGCAAATAGAATCATTTTTGTAATATTTATTTTACGCTTATGAGCTAGATAATTGCAGAATATAATTTTATCTGTCTTCCTAAGAAAGCTGTGGCTGAATTCTGAATATCTGTCATTAGAGAGCAGTCTTTGCAATTTTGGAAAAGATTTCTAGATGAAATCTCTGCAACTAGCCATCCTAATTGATAAAAGTTATGTGTTCACAGGCCTGCATGATGGTGAGGAATGTTCTGAGATTTGTGAAAGCATTTGAGTAGTGAAACGCAAGCACCAAACCTCCTGAATGCGTATACACAGGAATAAACTTTGTGACATTTATGTATTTTTGAAAACAGTCTTTGTGCAAAAGATACATTTTTATCCTTCTAAAGAGTCCAGCCATTCTTTCAGGAGAATGTCTTAGGATCATAGATGAGAAATCAAGCCCCAATGCCTTCTCTACAAATTTAAATTTGGTTATTTCCTACTCAGAAACGACTATCTATTATTTGAGCACATTGAAAGCTGCGTGCTGTGATTGTCCAACACAGGCCCCTCTGATATAAGAGAAATGCAATTATGTATTTGGCTAAATTTTGCCCAGTTCAAAATAAAATTTAAGAAGACAGGGATGGTTAGTGTTTTTTTTTTTTTTTTTTTTTTTTTTGCAGGTAGTGTATATATAACTGATTTTGAAATTCAACTGCTCTGGATTAGGAATCAGTAAAATCAGGGCAGACAATTAATGGGCTCAAATCCTGAAAAATGAAAGTATCCAAATTATTTCATTTAAATTGATATACCATGATGCTGCCTAAGTTTTTTTGTGCATACAAAAACACTGTAAAAACCAAAATTGGAATTGATATTTCATCTTGACTTTCAAAACAGTAGAGGCTAATTGTTAGTAACATCAAAAATAGCAATTGCTATTAGGATATCTGTTTAAAGCAGGGATCCCCAACTGCCCACACAGCAAGAGGTTGGAGCAATTGAGCATTACTGCCTGAGTTCCACCTCCTGTCAGAGCAGCAGCAGCATTAAATTCTCATAGGAGTGTGAACTGGTTTGTGAGAGATCTAGGGTGCCATATTCCTTATACGAATCTAATGCCTGATGATCTGAGGTGGAACAGTTTCATCCTGAAACCATTCCCTGGTATCAAAAAGGGTGAGGACCACAGGTTTAAAGAATGTCCATATTTCTTGATATTAAACTTCTGGTTTGTACATTACCTTTAGAAGCAATTACAGGTGACTTTGGAATCATTTACTTCTTCCATGCTTCCTCCATAAAGACTGATAAGTCTTGGATGCAATCTATAAAGAAAATATGTATAATTCATTATTTCATCAACTTATTTGTTATACAATGCCAAATACAAATTGATAACAAACATAGAATTCATGACAGAGCTGTAATCTAGAAAACTGAGAGGCTCTAATAAATCAACAGTAATTACTCTAAAGCCTCCTTAGCTGACTTCCTTGATTGTCTAATGTTCTCCATTGCCTCTGTAAAACAATACCTACCAAGGATGAGTCTGCAGGTTCCTAAACCTGTTTATACCAGTTGCTCATTAATATGTAAAACTGTTCCTATATAAAGGAAGTTTAATGCTTCATAAACACCTAATAAAAGCAAATTTCTGAACAAAAAGTGTTACAGTAATTATGAGTGAGAGGAAACTACAAGACTGAAGGATTAAAATCTAACACTCCACTACTCAGATGGCTCCACTAAAAGGTTTAAGATCTTGATTCATTTTTAAAAATCTAAAATGGAAGTTGTAGACATTATCTGTATAGTTTATGTACAATAAAAAATCGGAAAGCCAATTTAGACACATAACCAAAACAAATGCCTTGGCTCTACATGACAATTGGTGAATAAATGTAAAGTTACTTTTTTAATTGAAATTTGTGCATGTCTCTTTTTATGCTTCCCTGATCTCCTGATTTTTTAAAAAACCAACCAACTGCCTGCTTTGCTAGTTGAGAGAAGAGAGCTTTTGTTGTACCAATAGATTTATGTTTACTGGTTGACATATAAAGCAGTGAAATAATTAGACTTACCTAATATGGACTTCTGATGAAACTTCCATTAAATCGCCATCTACATTCCAAGGGAACCCATTTTCTGAAGCAGTTTCATCCTCCTCCTCTGGATTATATCCACTGGTATTTCTTGGATGAATTTTTACTTCCTCAACAGTGTAAGTCTCAACAAATGGAAAATTAAACTAAAAATAAATACAAATAATCATGATACTTGCTTTATTTCTAGCTACTAACACAAATTGAAGTTCACTGCACCCTCTCTCACAATGCATGTGACATGCATGCTGACATTTTTATAGCTTTGAGACTATGAACAGGGATCTCTGCTTTCTTTGGGAGAACGAATCTCTCATCCGAAGTCTTTTGGCTTCTTTTAGATCTAGCATCTAGAAATCTTTTATGACAAGTATTTGTAATAAAACAAGATTTGTCTTCCAAAAAAAGTGGAGATCTGTGAGAAGCTGCATATAATAATGATATTGTAGATTTTTCCATTAAAGATCATCTTTAATACTAGCCTGTAGATACAGAAGACATAATCTGTAGAGTTTTCAACTTGTCAATTAGTTTAGCTAACATAAAGCAAACTAATGCAAGTTTCACACTTGGAATTTAATTTGGAAGAATATAGGTGTAAACTTCTGAAGATAAAATTGGAAGTACATCTTCTTTTAAAAGAGAATGGAACAGAACAGAGGCCTCGGGGGCAACACCACACATCTACAACCATCTGATCTTCGACAAACCTGACAAAAACAAGCAATGGGGAAAGGATGCCCTGTTTAATCAATGGTGTTGGGAAAACTGGTTAGCCATGTGCAGAAAAGAGAAACTGGACCCCTTCCTAATACCTTACATTAACATTAACTCTAGATGGATTAAAGACTTAAACATAAGACCTAACACCATAAAAAGCCTAGAAGAAAATCTAGGCAAAACCATTCAGGACATAGGTGTAGGCAAGGACTTCATTACCAAAATGCCAAAAGCATTGGCAACAAAAGCCAAAATAGACAAATGGGACCTAATCAAACCCCAAAGCTTCTGCACAGCAAAAGAAACAGTCATTAGAGTGAATCGGCAACCAACAGAATGTGAAAAAAGTTTTGCAAGCTACCCATCTGACAAAGGGCTGATATCCAGAATCTACAAAGAACTAAAACAGATTTACAAGAAAAAAACAAGCTCATTCAAAAGTGGCAAAGAATACGAACAGACACATTACAAAAGAAGACATCGATGAGACCAACAAACATATGAAAAAATGCTCATCATCACTGGTCATTAGAGAAATGCAAATCAAAACTACATTGAGATGCCATCTCATGCCAGTTAGAATGGCAATCATTAAAAAATCTGGAGACAACAGATGCTGGAGAGGATGTGGAGAAATAGGAACACTTTTACACTGTTGGTGTGAGTGTAAATTAGTTCAACCATTGTGGAAGACAGTGTGGCAATGCCTCAAGGACCTAGAAATAGAAATTTCATTTGACCCAGCAATCCTATTACTGGGTATATATCCAAAGGATTATAAATCATTCTACTATAAGGACACATGCACACGAATGTTCATTGCAGCACTGTTTACAATAGCAAAGACCTGGAACCAACCCAAATGCCCATCGATGATAGACTGGACAGGGAAAATGTGGCACATAAACACCATGGAATACTATGCAGCCATCAAAACGATGAGTTCATGTCCTTTGTAGGGACATGGATGAACCTGGAAACCATCATTCTCAGCAAACTGACACAAGAACAGAAAATCAAACATCTCATGTTCTCACTCATAAGTGGGTGTTGAACAATGAGAACACATGGACACAGGGAGGGGAGCATCATACACTGGAGTCTGTCAGGGGGAAATAGGGAAGGGGGAAATAGGGGAGGGACAGCAGAGGGTGGGAAGTTGGGGAGAGATAGCATGGGGAGAAATGCCAGGTATACGTGAAAGGGAGGAAGGCAGCAAATCACACTGCCATGTGTGTACCTATGCAACAATCTTGCATGTTCTTCACATGTACCCAAAAACCTAAAATGCAATTTAAAAAAATAAAAAAAGAGAAAGCCAATCAAATATGGATTTTCACAGCTGTTTACTTGCCCCATTCCTACTTTAACAATGAACACAAGTTGCAAGATCACTGTTTACTTACTGACCACTATAGAATGGTGCGAGGTAAACTTCAACTTGCATTTTTTTCTTGTTTGCCTAAGGAAACTATACTGAAAAAGCACTATGATTTTCTGAAACAAAACATAACCAAATCACTTTAGTGGAAATACATGATTACTCATTTCAGTTTTCAGATAAATGACAGGAGATATATTCCTAATTAAACATCTACATACCTTTTTCCCCTTTTCCACTTATAAACCTCAATGAAACACATAGTTTTAAAAGGTGACAGAAACCTATTATTTTTCCCAGCACCCATATTTTACATATGTAGATACCAAGGTCCAACAGACTTTCCAGCTTATACTGTATAGTAAACAGTTAAACGGTAGACGATCTGATCACATCAGCTGCTGTGACTAAGGTACTGAATTAGAGAGCCCCAAGCAAAACTGTTTGACAGTTACTGCATTAGGCCTCCCACCTCTGGTGTAAAGCGGTGGCTACATGCCTCATCCTTGTAGAATTATCTGCATAATCATTCATATTAGAGATTGTGTTTTAAATGTTAACAACTGGCTGTTATGGGCTAAATTATATCCGCACCCCACCCCCCAAAAATAAGTTCAAGTCCTAACTCCTGCTAACTGTGAATGTCACCTGTTCAGAAGTAGGGTCTTTGCAGATATATCAAGATGAAGTCATTAGGGTGGGTCCTAATCCACTATGACCAATGTCCTTAGGAGAGAAGAGTGCCAAGATGGCAGAGACTGCAGTGATGCAGCTGCAAGCCAAGCAATGCCAAGAATCGAGAGCCATCACCAGTAAGTCTGTTACCTTAAATCAGCAGTTGTCATGTGCACACCTCACAAAATGAAGGTCTAGCCATCCTTCAAATGCTTTAACTGTGAAGCCACAGACATTGTTAAGTGGGACTTTAGGGAGCCAACAGTTTAGCATCAAGTGTGAGGGTATGTTTGGGGCATGGGGAGAAGTAAACAGTTCCAATTGTGAAACAGGGAAGTGCCATGATGGTGCAAGCGTGTTCAATGCAGGAAACAAGCGAACAGGCTCTGGATGTTGGGAAAACTTTCCATTTGCATTGAGTCTTAAAGAACATGGAAGATTTAGCCTGGAGAAGAAAGTCTGGAGAGACAAAGCATTTACAAAATGAGAGGCATGCCATGGTCAAGCAACTACACAGAATTCAGTGTGACTCCTACGGGCGAATCATGCCCCTTAGCCCTCAAGTTCCTGTGTTAAAATCCTTACCCTCTATGCCTCTGAATGTAACCGTATTTGGAGATTAGATGTTTAAAGAGGTGATTAAGCTAAAATGATGTCTTCGGGCCCTCATCTAATGATGTGTCCTTATAACAAGAAGAAATTTGGACATAGAAAAAGGCATCGGGGATGCACAGAGGAAAGACCACTCACTTGCAGGTGCAGTGAGAAAACAGCCATGTGCCAGCTGGAGAGAGAAGACTTGGGAGAAACTAAACCTGCGGCCATCATCTTGCAGCTCTGGCCTCCAGAACCATGAAAGAAATACATTACTGTTGTTGAAGCCATCTTTTCTGTCATATTTGTTATGGCAACGCTAGCCAATGAATACAATGCCGAAACACTGGGATTGTGGTGCAGAGTGGTAATAAGAGGTGGGGTTGCAACACAGACAGGGACCCGAATACAACAGCCCCATGTTCCAGACTGAGGAAATTCCATATTCTGACAATAAGAGAAAGGCAGTGAAGAATTAAGCAAAGAGAAATCCAACGCATGTCTTAGAAAAAGGTTTCTCTAAAAGGAGGTATAGAAGACGAGACCAGAGAACCCGAAGGCCGAAAGGCATCTACTGTAAGAAAGGATTAAAGTTTGAATCAAGGTGAGAGAGAAATTTTAGAAACATTTAAGAAGAGACCAATAGAACAAGTTAGGGGACTGGTAGTGAGGAATGAGGGAGATGGAGCCGAGTCCAGAGTAACCCGGATGGGTAGAAGCTGGTGCCACTAACCCATGCAGAGCAATGCAGAAGGGGCAACGTTAGGGGGAAATGTCAGCTGTGGACATGTTGACCTCAAGATGCCAGTGAGTTTTAGAACCTCTGTAGCATACAAGAAGCCAAAGAGGTCCTGCAGATCAGACGAGATGACAGAACCCTTGAGAGTACATGATGCTTAGATAGCTGAAAAGTGAGGGGCAATGAGACCATCCAGGAGAGGGTATCCTGAGAAGACGAGGGGGCTGCAAACAAATCCGTGGGAAGCACTCACATTTAAGGTTTTAAACTCCCTACTAAAAACGGTCACAATGAAAGAGAAAAGTGTGGACAGTGAGTGGGGGCAAAGCAATAGGATGGAGCTGCAAGGACTCTGGAGGATAGTGTTCACCCTCCATCTAATTTCACACGGAGATGAAGAAGGCAGCAGGAGCCACCCCGCACATGGTGGTTTCAATCAGTTTTATAGTGTTATACAGTAACATTCACTTATTCAACCTGGTAAACATGGTTCAGAGAAGCAGATGTTACTCTCCCTAAACTGAATTGCCACATTTCCCTTCCTGAATAGCAGCACTGCTACAAATTATGCAGTAGATATGATCTTACATAGATCTGATTGTCATAATCTTACAAAATGTATATAAATTCACATTTTTAATGTCACCAGGAAGGAAAGAGCCTAAGTACACACACCTGTGTGGATAACTAATGAATCAAATTAACATTCCTTGAAAACAGTCACCCTGGGAATCAATCTGATTATTATTACTATATACACTATACAAAATATACACTATACAAAATATTTTAGAATTTTTATTTGCAAAAAATAAAAGCAATATGGATTTTACTTTTTGAAAGTTGATAAATCAGCGTTAAGGCTAGTGAATCTCACACAGGCAACAGTTTCTTGTATCAAAAGCAAGATATGCCTGGTGGAGTGTATGAGAAAATATGATACATTCTGTATAACATTATCTCTTGTAGAAAACATTTTCTTTTTTCTTTTTATTTTTTGAGACAGAGTCTCACTCTGTCACCAGGCTGAAGTACAATGGCACCATTTCTGCTCACTGCAGCCTCCACAACCCGGGTTCAGGTGAGTCTCCTGCCTCTGCCTCCCAAGTAGCTAGGACTACAGGCACGCACCACCACACCCAGCTAATTTTTGTATTTGTTAGTAGAGACTGGGTTTCACCATGTTGGCCAGGTTGTTCTCAATCTCTTGACCTCGTGATCCGCCTGCCTCAGTGTCCCAAAGTGCTGGGATTACAGGCATAAGCCACCGTGCCCGGCCTAGAAAACATCTTATCGATATATGTTTTTGTTATTTTCTGTATATCTGTCCTTATTATTTATTTATTATTTTTTTTTTAATGAGACGGAGTTTCGCTCTTGTTACCTAGGCTGGAGTGCAATGGCGCGATCTCGGCTCACCGCAACCTCCGCCTCCTGGGTTCAGGCAATTCTCCTGCCTCAGCCTCCCAAGTAGCTGGGATTACAGGCACGTGCCACCATGCCCAGCTAATTTTTTGTATTTTTAGTAGAGACGGGGTTTCACCATGTTGACCAGGATGGTCTCAATCTCTTGACCTCATGATCCACCCACCTCGACCTCCCAAAGTGCTGGGATTACAGGCTTGAGCCACCGTGCCCGGCCTGTCCTTATGTTTAAGGTAATCATTGCTTTTAAAATCAGAAGAAAGGTATATTGACTTTAAAAAAAAAAAAAAAAAGTTTACAAAAGAAACTTGCCCCATGGGCAATTTCAAAAGAGACCTTCCATAAACAATTTGTGCAACACACACCTCCCTAACATAGTTTCTCAGGGGTACATTAATAGGTTAATATGTACTTAAGTTCTCAAATAGGGGTACATGAATGAGGTTAATACTCACTTCTCATTTAATAGAAAAGGGTTCAGAAAAAAATTCTACCAAGGTAATGATACTTATCTCAAGGAACACGGAATTTTGAGTGCTTTAAATTATTTTCTTGTTTCTGTTTTCTACCTTAGAAACAGCAATGAATATATACTGCTTTGGGTTTTTTTAAATTTGGTTTTAATGTTTAGAAATTTAGTAAAATATGAAAAGGCATATATTCCTTTGAAAAATAATAAATCTCCATATTTCCCCCAAACACACATAAAATTGTTACATAGGCTCACAACCTACATTGTATCTGCTCATCTACTTTGATATATAAGGAAAGTGAGACTGTATCTAATTTTCTTTTATGATTTAAGTTCCTAAAAACAGCCCAGCTAGTTGCTCAATACATGAGGATCAAGTAATGTTATAGACAGATCAAACTTCTTAAGAATGGCCTAAGAAAGTCTGAAATTATAATGAGGCAAAAATGGAGAGCCTTGCAATGGCTAAGGTACATAAGCAAGGTTCAGCTGCCAGTCATTGGCTGAGTTTACTCTCCTCCTCCTCCCATCTGTTCTCTCCCAACTACATCCAAGTACCATTTTAAACCTTTAAGAATGTGTGAAACTATAGGGTTTTACAACCATACTCACGTACTTCAAAGACTCACAATTTCAGAAATTCACATATTTCTAGGATCATTTTCCGAATAATTAGGTCAAAATATCTGCCAAAATTATGGGGCTTGTAATAGTTATTGTTTGTTTCTCTTTAAGGCAAATCATTTAATTAGAAATATGTATCTTCACACATTCTCATTGTAAATAAATATTTGAATAAAAGGGTTACATTTTTAAATACATAAAATCTATTTCAATCAATGAGCATAGGCAGATATGCAAACAGATGTCAGGAAAATCTAAAGATTGTAACTTTAGAGAGTCTGCCGCGGTAATATCGAGAAGGCTAAACTCTCAAATTTCAATACTTTTCATTCTGAAGAATGCCCTGAGTATGTAATTTTATCCTTAATTTATTTCACATTGCAACATAACATTACATTTTCAATTTTATCTTTGTGGTTACATATACATCACCACTAACATAACCACTAACCCATCGTTCGAAAAAGGCCAATCCATATTAATACTGGTATATGCTTTTCAAAATTTGGATGAAACAGATCAGAAAAAAAGATTAATATATTCAGCAGAACATAAGGTCTTCTTATGAGGCAGGACTCGATGTAAACTCTTGCAGCATCTCTCTCTCGCTCGCTCTCTCCATGATTAATAGCTTTGTGAATAAGTAACAAAAATAATTTACTATACCTGATTTTTTACACTGGCATATCTTTTCAGGTGCTTTATAAATTCTGACCGGGAAGTGTTTCGGGCAATTATAAGAGCCATACTTCCATTATTTAACCTGAAATTAAACATTTGTGTTAGACATTAAGAAGTTTAATAAGATAGTATACCAAAAATTATGACATACTGTTCCTTATATAAAAGTACTGGACAGGATAAATCATCACCATGTTTCATTTACCTGAAGTTCATAAACCATATCTTGCTATTATTTTTTAAATGATGCAGGCTTTCAAATGAGTTTTATTAAATCACTGGCTTCCTGCTCAATACACTCCCACATTAGAGCATTTTACAAAACAAACCATCATGCATCCTACTCACATATCAAGACATAATTTAAAATCCAATGTAATTAGAAATTCTAAATATGAAACTATGTTTTTAAAAGATGTATTATAGAATAGTTAATATGCAGAAGTGATGTAACAAATAGCTCAACATTTTCTAAAATCTAGTGTGATTTAAATATTTATTTATAGACACAAGGTCCAAATGACATAGGAAATGAAATAAATCAAAGTGGCCTTTGGATGGATGAAATGGAGTGAACAAATGCTGCCACACATGTTCAGTTAAATGACTGAACATTTTAATCTTGCATAACTGTTCCATCCAATAAAAGAGACTGAAAATTCAGAGGTGTGATTTAGTGCCAAAACAGCCACTCACAAATGCATCGAGCTATAGAAGGCAGTTTGCAGAAATACATACAAATGACTTTTAGCTTGATTTCAGTGCAAACATGAAGTTAATCTAAGAATAACAACAACATAAGAAAGAGCTCTTGGTATCTTATGGAAGCTTAGGTTAGAGCTATAAAGGACCTTAGAGATTATCTCATCATTTACTCATTCCACATAGAAGGAAAAGACAACTCCAAGTTTAAGTGATTTGTTCAAAGGCACACAGAGAAAAACAAAATGGTCATCAGCACCAATACTCTGTGCTCACTAGTCCTTCCATCACGCCTCTTCTTCCCAATTAAAAATAAATAGCACCAAAATATTAATGGTAGCATTACTGTGCATCGTTTATTTTTTTAATTGCATAATTTTATAAACATTAAAAGCATTATCCTATGCCTGCTTTGCAATATTTACTTAAAATAGAAACACAACTTACATGGCTGGCACTGCATTAAATGTTTCACATATATGAACACACTCAATTTTAGAATACATAGAATATAAAAATATTAGTTCCTATCAGCAATTTGCATTGAGATATTTTAACATAAATTATTATTTATCATGGTGCAGGAAAAAGCAGAAAATGAAGTCTCCTGTTCAATCATCCTGATTCATCAGAAGCTACATTTCTGAAAAATCTCTGGTCAACCGAGGCTTGATCTAAAGGCCTTTGCAAAGATGCCATGTTGTGATTATAAACCACAGAAGAAATCTCTAATTAGTCATCCTTTTCTGAAAAATTCATCAATACCAATTTAAGCCTGGAGAGTCAACAGTGGAATTCCAGTCAAGCTGAACATTTATGAGTGGCTTTGAAGGAGCTATGAATCAACTGCTCCCAGAAAAGCAGGACTATGCTCCCAAGAAGGTCCTTGAGCAAACGGGGTTAGATATCCATTGCTTGGTCAGCTAGCCAAGTCTTCAAGTGTAGTCAGGGAAACTACATTAGGACAGCACATAGCTATCTGGGATTTCTGAAGGTGTGTGGGGAAACCAACCAGGCTCAATTTCTAAATCACACAAGATACAAAATACTCCTTACAAGTTTTAGCACTAGATGTTATTAATGAGGACTTTACCATCTGAGTTTTCAATATCCAAGTTTGTAGTTTCTCTTTTTTCTTCTCTGACTTAGAGTATTTCCCTGTTTATTGACTATATTTTACAACATTCATAATCCTTTCTCCTATGCTCTACAGGATTGGATTTAGGAAAGAAATATTTTCAGGCCCATAATGGACAGCTGTTTAAGAAGAATGTGCAAGAGAAGGAATGCCTATCCTATGGATAAATTTATACATGTAAGATGTTTTATATTTCATTCAATTGAAAATGTGGGCAGGAGATTCTTGTGCACTACTATTCACATTAAATAAAACTGAAATGTTTCCTTTGACTAAAAGTATCTGATACAGTTTGGCTTCATGTCCGCAATCGAAATCTCATCTTATAGCTCCTATAATTCTCATGTGTTGTGGGAGAGACACCATGGGAGATAATTGAATCACGGGGGTGGGTGTTTCCTGTGCTGTTCTCATGATAATAAGTCTCATGAGATCCAATGGTTTTTAAAACAGAAGTTTCCCTACACAAGCTCTCTTTTCTTATCTGCCTCCATGTGAGATTTGCCTTTCACCTTCTACCATGATTGTGGGGCCTCCCCAGCATCGTGGAACTGTAAGTTCATTAAACCTCTTTCTTTTGTAAATTACCCAGTCTTGGGTATGTTTTTATAAGCAGCATGAACACAGACTAATGCAGTATCAAATATACATATGTGGGCTTTTCATGCTAAGGATATTTATGTTTGCATTAAAGTTGGAAAGCAAAGGCAGTCACAAAAATATCAGTATTTAATATAATGGTCTCAATAGCTAAATGAATAAATCAAGCAAAGTAGGCATAGGTTAAAATTCTGTCAATAAAACCTTAAAAATATTATTTTATCCTCAGTGACCTTAAATAGTCAATGATCATCTGCTAATTATTCCAGTTCAACAGTTCTTCTCAACCTGTGACAAATCCCTTAGAATCTCTAATATACAAAGAGAAACCACCTGTTAAGTTTCTAGCTAACCAATAGTTAGTCGTGTATACTGGAAAAAAATTGGTTTATAAGAAATGTATCAGTGATTCAATAAAAATGCTTACTCACCTGGTATTCGGTGCCAAGCCTCTAGGTGCCACTGAACACAGGCAAGGAATTGCCATAATGCTGACATTCAAGAACTGACCCTGGATCATTTGCCACTGATCATTACAGTCTAAAGGTAATGGAAGTGATTGGTTATTTTCCCTCACCAGAGCAAAATGTCAACAGAACCTGGCATAGTTCTCAAGGAGATGCTTTTGGACTCACCAGATTTGGGAGATCCCTGTTCCCTCCTAAAAGTAAGAAAACAAAACAAAGACATAAAACAGGTAACACACACACACACACACACACACACACACACACACACACACAAATCTATTAAATATGAGAAAATCAGAGAACCCATCATTACATATATTACTTTCTTAATTAGATAGTAAAACTATGTGTACAATTTTGTTGCTGCCAACATTATAATGTGTTGATTCTTTTAAAGGTAAACTAGTATTATAAGGAACAATAATTTTCTATTTCTTTAAAGACTATAACCCTTTTTTAATATAGCTTTAATATTCGTATTACAAACTAGACCAAAACTCTCACGAGGGACAAAACTGTATGTTTTGCTCATTTTTTAGTGCATTGTTGTATCCAGAGTGCCTGGCATATAGTAGTCACTCAATAAACAGTGAAAGGAAGGGGAAAGGAAAACAGAAAAGGGGAAAGGAAAGGAAAGGAAAAAAAAAAGGAAAGAAAAGGAAGGAAGAAAGAAAAGAAAAAGAGGGAGGGAGGGAAAAGAGAAAAAGGCTGATGAGTGGTTGTTTGCTTACGAGGATCCCTAGGAGTCTATAATTCTATATTCTTTAGTACTGTGTTAGAAAAATAATCAAAGATCCTAAGTCTGATCAATTGTTTATGTCAGAATGTTTTCTGCTTTAAAGAAAGATATAGGTTATCTGTATTACACTGAGTTTTTACTTACCTTTCTTGCACATCATCAGAGCTGTTAAATGGTAAAAATGATATTTCACAGTCTTCTGGCCTAAAATATAATGAAATTTGCTATTAACAGTCATTGACTCTGGGATACAAAATTTTTGGTTTAAGAAAAAGACTTACTTAAGTTTTGCCAGTGCCTTAACGACAGCAAAATCTCTCCTTTGGTTAGGGGACATCCATCGATATTTTTCTGCCAGAGCCAAAGTTCTTCCACCAAAGCCAAACATGGCTGAGAACCCAAAGCGAAGAAGCTTTCCAGTGGTGCTGAAGGTGCAGACATCGACCAGCTGTACCTGCCCTTGAATATTATATTAAACATTAGTGAGTACAGTAGGACTTCTATCAAAACAGCAAATGTAAGACAGCATATTCACTGATTTATAGGAGAATATCTCAAGGTACTGTAGACCAGGCATCCCCATACTGCAGCCCCCCGAGTCCATTTATCCAGCCCCCCGCCGCACTTCAGGAAGGTGGTGGTCAGTGAGAGGAGCACAGTATGTGGCGGCCCTCCAACGGTCTGAGGGACAGTGAACTGGCCCCCGGTGTAAAAAGTTTGGGGACGCCTGCTGTAGACCATAAACATCCTCACTTTCTCTTAAGCTCCCTTTACCTATAACTACAGCAATTGCCATTTTTTTTTGAAATGGTGTTTCACTCTTGTAACCCAGGCTGGAGTGCAATGGCACGATCTCGGCTCACCGCAACCTCCGCCTCCTGGGTTCAGGCAATTCTCCTGCCTCGGCCTCCTGAGTAGCTGGGATTACAGGCACAAGCCATCATGCCCAGCTAATTTTTTGTATTTTTAGTAGAGACGGGGTTTCACCAAGTTGACCAGGATGGTTTTGATCTCTTGACCTTGTGATCCACCCGCCTCAGCCTCCCAAAGTGCTGGGATTACAGGCTTGAGCCACCACGCCCGGAAGCAATTGCCATTTTTAACTTGTTCAGGTATTAGTAAAGAAAGTCAGAGTAGTAAATTTTTCAGCTTATTGCTATTTCCTATAAAACATGGTCAAAGAAATGAAGTAGATGGGCCAAGTAAACTTAGATTTAACAGTAGTTTGGCATTAGATATACCTAAGCTTATACACTTTCCACCAATTGGGATAATAAAATATCTACAGACATATACTGGCTGAAATTATTTTCCCATATGTGTTTTCATTCATAACAAAATCCTAGTCTTAGAGTCTTGGTAAATCCGACATCAGTGTTGGATATACGTAAGGAGTACGCATTAATTTTCTTAATCTGGTTATAAAATTATTATTTTGAGCATCACTATTTTTTCTATAGAGATTATAGTAAAACTTCATGTATTACTCTTGACAAGGCAAGTATTATGAAAAGATACGCAGTCCAAATAGTAAAGCATTGACTTTTGGTTTTTTAGTCAAACATTTCTCTACTTTCAGAGACAAAGAGCCTGCCTTTCCTTAAAGTCTGAAGGAAATAAGATAGCCTTCCTTAAATAAATCAAAATTTGCTTATAACATATGAACTGCTTTGGAAGAATTCTTACCCATTATAATGTGCAATGTTGCAGTTACCACATGAGGAACTCCATGAAGAGAATGTGCCAATACATTGGTAGATCCTGCCAAAGCAATTTTAAAACATGCACTATCAGGGTAGAATGAGTTTAAATTAACATTTGCTCTTATTTTATATAGATGTCATTCTGCAATGTTGAGATGAAAAATAAAACAAAAATTTATAATCAGCAAAGTTAATGAAAATACTAGTGGAAGTTTAAGTTCTCATTCACAGTATAGATGCATATCAAATATCTGCCCAGTTATTTGTTGATTATTAACTTAGAAATTCAAAAATAGTTTTTAGTATCTGCTTACAGCTTTTTAAAATTATGGATGTCTATTTTCTACCTTCCAAATGCTAGCTGTATCAAAGCTCACTCCATCCAACCTTAATGAATGGGTTTTTAGCTTCTATATCAAAATGAGGATCAACAGCAAAAGGGTGCCTCTCGAGAACAGAGACAAATGCAAACATAAATAAAAAAGAAAATAACCCAAACAATAACTGAGAAAAATTATAAAATAACTATAAACTACAAAAGATATACTCCAAATATATTTAATGAATATTAGAAGTAATCTCTTAGCCTAATGAGAATTCCCTCTATTATCTGACAAATGTCTCCTACATTGAAGAAAATGTTTAATTCCATGGTATTTCCCAATATGAAGATTCTAATTTTCATGATCATTAGAATAATTTAAGACACACCTGTATTTTCCCCACCAATGTACAGAGGCAAAGAGCTCCCCAAGTCAGGCCCCTTTAATGTTTATGTACGACTGAAATCTGAGATACAGGGGGAAATACCAGCTAGCCCCTCTCATTCCCAGGAGGCTAAAGAGAATTTAAAATTATTAAAAATAGAATGAATGAAGCTACAATTTTTCTTGAATGAAAGAATATGACAAGGAAGTCCAATAATAGCTGAGAGCTGTGAAAGCATGGATGCAGTGTGTTCCAGTTATCAAGGCAAAGGCCAGTCCTCTGGATTTTGTTAATTAGAAGCATTCTTATGTGATCATATATAATTGCTTTGTTACTTTGAACTGATATGTATTTGGGTTGCTAAATTAGAGAAGCTAAGGCAGCTTAGCCATTATCAACCAAGAGATCATTAAAATCATAATTTTTATGAGGCACCTACCTAAGAATTAATAAGCATATTTATTATTAATAAATAAGCATAATTAAACCAGAGTTCTAGTACTACCAATGCAAAGTTTATTTTAACAAATTGGCAAACTGGTGCCAACTGATTCACCAAAAGACAAGTTATGCTGTGACCTCTGTTACTCAGAGTATGGCCTACTGTCAACAGGAATGACAACACTTGAGTGCTTATTAAAATGTGACTCTCATGAGTTGAGAGACAATGTCTTCTTCCTCAAGAAGACATTATACCCGTTTTCACCACTGTGAAAACGGGTATAAACTTTCCATGGAACTAAAATAGTACTGGAAGTTCTAGCCAGAGCAATTAGGCAAGAGAAAGAAACAAAAGTCTTCCAAATCATAAAGATGTAAGCTAAATTGCTTCTGTTTGTAGGCATGATCTTATTTAAGAAACCCTAAAGGATCCACCAATGAATCATCAGAGCTAATAAACAAACCCAGTAAAGCTGCAGGACACAAAATCAACATTCAAAAATCATTAGTATTTCTACACACTTACAACTATCTGAAAAAGAAATCAAGAAAACAATCCCTGCACAGCAAAAAACAAAACAAAACAAAAAAAAAACAAAAAAAAAAAAACATCATCAGAGTGAACAGGCAACCTACAGAATGGAAGAAAATTTTCACAATCTTCCCATCTGACAAAAAGGTCTAACATCCAGAATTTAGAAGGAACTTAAACATATTTTCAAGAAATAAAACAACCTCATCAAAAAGTGGGCAAAGGGTATGAACAGACATTTCACAAAAGATGACATTTATGTGGCAAACAAACCTGAAAAAAAGCTAAATATCACTGATCATCAGAGAAATGCAAATCAAAATCACAATGAAAGACTGTCTCACATCAGTCAGAATGGCAATTATTAAAAAGTCAGGAAACAACAGATGCTGGCAAACCTGTGGAGAAATAAGAACACCTGCGCACTGTTGGTGGGAATGTAAATAAGTTCAACCATTGTGGAAGACAGTATGGCAATTCCTCAAGGACCTAGAACCAGAAATGCCATTTGACCAGCAATCCCACTACTGGATGTATATCAAAAGTTAATAAATCATTTTACTATAAAGAAACATGCACAAATATGTTTATTGCAGCACTATTTACAATAGCAAAGACTTGGAACCAAACTAAATGCCCATTAATGGCAGAATGAATAAAGAAAATGTGGCACATATACACCATGGAATACTATGCAGCCATATAAAATAATTCGTTCATGTCCTCTGCAGAGACATGGATGAAGGTCTGTCATTCTCAGCAAACGCAGGAACAGAAAATCAAACATCACATGTTCTCACTTATAAGTGGCAGTTGAACAATGAGAACATATGAACACAGGGAGGGGAACATCACACACCAGGGCCTGTCAGGGGGAGGGGGACAAGGGGAGGGGGAGCATTAGAACAAATACCTAATGCATGTGAGGCTTAAAACCTAAATAACAGGTTGATAGGTGCAGCAAACCACCATGGCACATGTATACTTATGTAACAAACCTGTACATGTATTCCAGAACTTAAAATTTAAAAATAACAAAAATGTAACCAAAAACTTGAAAGGCCTGTACACTGAAAACTAAAAATATTGATAAAAGAAACTGAAGAAGACACAAATAAATGGAAAGATATTGTTAAAATTTTCATACCACCCAAAGCAATCTACAAATTCAATGCAATTCCTATCACAATTCCAAAGGCTTTTTTTTGGGGGGGGGTGGGGGACATAAATGGAAAAAAAAATCTAAACTTTCCATGGAAATACAAAAAAAATCCAAGAAGCCAAACCAGTATAGAGGCATTATAATACCTGACCTCAAAATATACACCAAAATAGAAATCAAAACATGGTACGAGCATAAAAAAGACACATGGACAACTGGGACTGAATACAGATCCTGGAAATAAAACCCAAGTATTTATGGTCAATGGATTTTCAACAAAAATATCAAGAAAATTTAATTGTGAAGGGACGCTCTCTTCAATAAATGGTATTAAAAGAACTAGATAGCCACATGCAGAAAAATAAAATTAGAAGTTTATCTCACACCATATATATATATATATATATATATATATATATATATATGTCTATATATGTGTGTGTGTGTGTGTGTATATATGTGTGTGTATATATATATATATATATATATATAGACTCAAAAAGTTTAAAGGCATAAATGTAATACCTGAAACCATAAAACTGCTAGAAGAAAATAGGAGAAAAGCTTCATGCCACTTATCTAGGTAATTATTTTCTGGATTTGACTCTCAAAGCACAATCAACAAAAGTGAAAACAGACACAGATTACATCAAATGAAAAAGTTTCTCCACAACAAAGCAAACAATCAATAGATACAACCTATGAAATGGGAGAAAATATTTGCACCCCACATCTGATAAGGGGTTAATATCCAAATTATGTAAGGAACTCAAATAACTCAATAGCAAGAAAGTAAATAACCTCACTTAAAAATTAGCAAAGGCCCCTGATAGTCATTTCTCCAAAGAAGACATACAAATAACTGGCCAATAGGCATATGAAAGAATCCCCAGTATGACTAATCATCATGGAAATGCAAATTAAAAACACAATGAAATATCAACTCACAATTGTTATCAAAGAGACAAAAACAAAACGAAACAAACATAACAAATGTTAGAGGAAATGTATAGAAAAACTTGAACACTATTGGTGGCAATGTAAATTTGTACTGCCATTACGGAAAACAGTATGGAGGTTCTTCAAACAATTAAAATTAGAATTTTCATATGATCTAGCAATCCTACTACTGGGTATGTATCCAGAGGAAATGAAATCATTATGTCAAAAAGGTATCTTCATTCCCATATTTGTTGCTGTATTAATGGCAATAGCCAAGATACAGAATAAATCTAAGTGTCCATTAAGAAAATGTGGTAAAGTTTGAATATCCATAATCTAAAATCCAGAAGTGTTTCAGATTTCAACTTTTCAGGTATTTGCATATACATAATGAGATATCTGGAGGATGGAACCCAAGTCTAAACATAAATTTAATTTTTATACATCTTTTAGATATAGCCTGAAGATAATTTTTAAATTTTTAATATTTAAAATTAATATTAATTGATATTAATTTATTTTAATTGATAATTAAATATTTAATATTAAATTTTTAATATTTAAATTTTTTATATAAAACAAAGTTTTGACTGCAGTTTGACTGCTACCCATAACATGAGGTGTGGAATTTTCCAGTTGTGGTATCATGCTGGCACTCAAAAATTTCTAATTTTGTAGCATTTTGGATTTTAGGTTTTCAGATTAGGGATGGTCAGCTTGTTTATATACACAATGGATCACTATTTTGGAATTAAAGAAGTCCTGTCATTTACAACACATGGATGAACCTGGAATATGGTATGCTAGGTCAAATAAGCCAGCCACAGAAAGATAAATACGATATGATCTTACTTTTATGTAGAATCTGAAAAACTTAAACTCATAAAAGCAAAGAGTAAAATGGTGGTTACTGGGGCTAATGTGTGGGAAGGACTGGGGAGATATTGGTCAAAGGATACAAAATTTCAGTAAAAGAGGAATGCTTTCAGGACATCTGTTTTATAACCTGGTGACCATAGTTGATACGGTTAGGCTTTGTGTCTCTACCCAAATCTCATCTTGGATTTTAATCCCTAATTCTCCACATGTCAAAGGAGAGACCAGGTGAAGGTAACTGAATCATGGGGGCGAGTCCCTGCTGCTGTTCTTGTGACAGCGAGTGAGTTCTCATGACAACTGATGGTTTTACAAAGGACTCTTCCCCACTTTACTCAGCATTTCTCCTTCCTGCCACCTTGTGAAGAATGTACCTTGCTTTTCCTTTGCCTTCCACCATGGTTTTAAGTGTCCTGAGGCCTCCCCAGCCATGCTGAACTGAGAGTCAATTAAACTTCTTTCCCTTATAAATTACCCAGTCTTGGATATTTTCTTAACAGCAGCATGAGAACAGACTAAAACAATAGTTAATAACAATGCATTATATACTTGAAAATTTCTAAGAGAAATTTTAAGTGTTCTCAATGCAAAATAAGTATGTGATCATTATGTCAATTTTATGCATGTTTATCTTTATTTAGCCATTTCACAATGTGTAAGTTTCAATACATCACATTGTACACAATAAAATTTTTGTCAATTTAAAAATAAATAAGGATAACGGGTATTAAAACAGTAATTAATGGAAGTATTAATGAAAGTAAAAAAATATATTATTTTTAAAATGTTACCTATTAGGTCCCATTTCAGACAGACTGAATCAGTCTGCAACTTATAAGATCTCCAGGTGGTTTGTATGCACAGTGACTTGGTGAGAAACTCCTCTGGAATGCATGGTCCAAGCAGCATCATTACCTGGGAGCTTTTTAAAAACATACATTCCTGGGTTCTACCTCCAACTCAAAAAATCGGAATGTGTGTGGAGGAGGGAAGACCCAGGTGTCTCTGTTTTAGCAAGTTCACAAGGTGAGTCTATGAACCCTAAGTTTTGAGAACAAGTAGTATAGAAACCTGTTACTCTGTGGATACTTATCCAGGCCTTTCCAGTGATCTTGCAGCCCTCAAGCCTGGCCTTTGACCATATAATTGCTAATAATGTGGAAAGGATTGGGAAAAAAAGGAGGAAACAAGTCAATCCATTGTGCTTCCCAATCAGATTTGTGGTAAAGGTTTTAGAAGAGAACACATCATTAGAGTGAGATATTTAGGATTATTGATGGAGTACAGTACTCCATGAAACACTTTTCTTCCATTATCATGGTTATTTAGGAGTAGACCATAAAAGCATTCCTCTAGAAAGATTATTTAAAAACATAATATCATATACAATAGAGAATGACACATAGCATGACTTAAGAAAATAAAGACTGTTTATTCCTTGTGAGTTTGAAGTATGCTGAGTATGCCCAAGTACACTTTCTTTTTAGAATGTTAAAGATGGCTTTAAAAAATGTTTATGTCCTCTCAGGCTTTGCAACTTTTCTCTAATTCTGTAGAAGTTGGCAGGGATAACAGAAATGACTACAAGCAGGAAAATTATTTTAGTCATTGACTATTCATTAATCTGTACCTTAGCCTTTAAATGTGGTTTTGACACTCTGAAGAAAAAAAGAAAGTTTATGAAAAAGTGTATGTAAAATTGCAAAATGATAGATTGTTCTATATTTTGTTGGGATAATCTGAAAGATGGATTACATTTTGTTTCAGGAAATTGCACTCTATTTGAAAAGATGTTTACATGCCAAAAGAACATGCTGCTCACATAAATAACAATGGTGTAATTTTAATGTTCTCACAAAAGCTATAAATGTTCTACCTCAAGGTAAACATTTTAATTAGCCTGAAAGTTATTTTTCTTAACACTACCAGAAACTTTGCCCACCACTCCCTCCCCAGAGCTGCTAAAATGTTCCAAATACAAAAAGTAAGGACAGAAGTAGCAGCTCATAAAAGGAATTACTGATGAAATACCAGTCAGAAACTACAGAGGCAAAAAGAAAAAAAAAGAAAAAAAAAAAAAATCGTCCTTGGAAGTGCAAGCACTTCTGCAGAACAATTAACTTAATTAACCAGACACCATGAATATTCATAAGGCTGTTAATGTCTCCCACATCCAAACAGATAAACGTGATGTAATGACTTCCTAGTCAAGCATATCTAAAATTCTCATGAAAACGGCACCTACACTTTGGTTCTCTGCCTGAAATATCATAGAAATTAACAGTCCCTCGGCAATATTTTATTCTCCTCAAATTAATTGGAAAGCATGAATTTATTTATGCAAACTCTATAGGAATATATGGTTCACAGCCATCAGTATGTGGATTGAGCCTTGTTTTACAACAACTGGATTGCTTTTTTATTTTTATGTCCTCTCAGTTTTTCTCCATTCCCCCTCCCCCTTTTAATCAGAGTCTCTCAGTATAGTTCCTTAGCACCAGTTCCCATAGCAACAAACACCATTCCTAATGGCCAGCAGTTCAAATACAGGCTTCCCCACATCTGATCCATTTGAGTCTGACCATAATTCAGCGGCTTAGTCTGTTGGCTCAGTGGATTAATTTACTAAACACTCTCCCTCTGGGTGTCTCTCTCCAGGAGGTAAATGGCTTCAAAGGCACACTGTCTCATGTTCAGCTTGAAAACTTCCTGCCTAGTTCTTGTTCCCATTCTCTATCTAAAGCCCTGACTAGGCAAAGAGTCCTCATATTAAATATATCCCACACATGACTTCCTCATCCCATTAGAATGAATTAGAATGCTAGAACTCCTATACAATGACCAGAGTTTTGGCAGCATACTGTGTCTTCTAAACTACTGTGTCTTCTAAACAAGACTTGTTAAAATAGCATTACTTACAAATATCCAAAGAACACATAAAACACTCCCCAAATCAGCAATACTCTTAAAAATTATAATAGTGATAAAACTCAGTGTTACTCCTTTATAATGTCCAAATCACATAAAAAAACATAAACCATAACCACCAGTTTTTATAGCCAACCACCCAATTTATGTCAAATGCATACCTGTAGGGACACCCATCTTTCTATTTCTGATGTAAGGCAGTCAGTGAATGACCCTGGGAATTTAAGTACCAAGGAAGACAAACAGTGTCCTAAGAACATCCACTTGGCATGGAGGGAAGTGTTGGAAAGATTCCACCATTATATTCAGAATTGCTAAAGTAAAACAAGAACTCCAAGAAATAAAATGCCATGAAAAGATAGCCCAAAATGCATGCTTTTTTTCTCTTTGTGTCAAAATCATCTTTTTGTCTGCTACTTAGAAACCATTTGAGGTTTTTCTATATTCTCCACAATTATCAGAATATATTTGAATATCTCTCTCCTTTTAAATTCTGGCTTTTCTGAAAGACTTCATACTCTAAAAGGGCATTTTGGTATCTTGTGCTCTGTTAATTTATCAACAAGACTAATTTTACTGAAATCCATACAAAATGAATAGGGTTATCAAAATATATATTTTTTCTTTTCTATTATCATAGGGAAAAATATTCTGTTTTTAGTGATGTGTGACTTTTTAAATGAAAACATAATTTCCTCCACTATCATTTATTTAAATAATTTGGGATGAGTGATTGTATAATACAATCAACTTCTGAATGATGTTTTCCTCTTTTCTGAACCACAGTGTTGCTCTAATGGTTCTCCCTATCTCTACCTCTATTTTCTCCTGCCCCCATCCTCTAATCGTTCCACACAGTGAGGCAAAATGAACCCTCCTAGAACAAGCTCCAATCAGGTTGCCCCCTGCTCTGAAACATCCCATTATTTCCTACTGCTTATCAAATACAATTCAGAGCCCTTACTGTGGCATGCAGGAGCCTCCATGGTTGGGTCTATTTTGATACCGTTATCTCCCATTGAATGGCCTTTTCACTATTTCTCAAACACTCCTGGGTTTTGCCTTTGCTTTATTTTTGCAGCCAAGAAAATAACTCACTGTCACCTTTTCAGGCCAGCTCCAACCCATTTTAAGACCTAATTCAAGTGTCATTTACTATATGAAGTCTTGTTTACATTCATTCACTTAACAGGCTTCACTGAGCATCACTGTGGCATAGTCTATTCTAGGTGCTGAAGAAATGGCAGTGAGTGGAAAGATAAAACGTCTTGTCCTTAAGAATTGCACCCTTCCAAACCTTATCCTCCTTCCAGTCACAAGTAATTCTGGCATTCTCAAGGTTATCTGCTTATACTTCAATTATGCAAGTTACCATATTCACCTCATATGGAATTATAAGCAGCTAGACTGGAGTGGCCCTGTTTTGAAACCTCCTACCTGGTACTGTGTAATCATTATACCTTTTTATGGGAAGAGAAAAGAATAACCATTGCATATACTGAAAGTTTAACTATATATTAAACCCTTTACTAACCCAAAGGTTAGTACTACAGCCACCTTGTGATAAAGTGAATAATATATGTGTGATCCCTATTCTACAGATTAGAAAAATAAGGCTCTAAGAGATTAAATGACTTATTATAAGTCTCACATTTGATAGTGGGGATGCCAGAAGCCTGGATCTTTCAAAGGCTGTTCGTTAACTCTGTGTTATGCTCTCTAGGTTAGGAAGTAAGAAAGGAAATGAGGGAGAAGGGTCAGTTTAATGAATCTGTAGCCACTCCCTTGCCTGCTGGTATTAAGCCAAGTGGAAGCTGTGCTCTGACAGGTGTCAGGATTCGGTCTGTTTCCATCCCAGCATTCTTCTGGGCTCTCAGAAGCAAAGCATGGGCTACTTCACTAGCAGATCCATCTCCACCAACACAGACAACACTAGAAAGATATCAATTAAGCAAAGAAGGCAAAACTTCAGAATGATTGGTAATAATTCATAAAATCTAGACTTCAATATAGTTTACTAATCTGTAGTCTATGTGCATGACTACTCACATGCTCCTTCAAACATGTTAGTACGTGTCAATGGGTAAGACACAAACACTAAATAGGTAAAGTTTACTTCACAAACATAATAACTAGTTAATTCCCTGTAGACAAAATAACTTTAAGTGTGTTAAGAGATATGAAAACATTTTAACATATTAACTCACATCTGACCAGCGTTTTGCTGTTAACATCCAAAACCATATCATTCTCATTTTGTTTATGTTAATAATACTGTCATCTGCAATTCATTCAACTAACACCAACCAAAGTCATAAAATTCTGATTCTCAATAAAGCTCTGAAAAGACAGATGGCAATAAAAAAAATCATATAAAATATGAAGCTTTAAGAAACTGCTAATTATCATTAGTATATGAATGCAGCCATTACAAACCTGACCTGGATTTCATCTTCTTGACATTATTGCTTTATGACACTTCTAGATTTAATGTTATTAGCCTTTGATCCTAGGTAGTACTACTAGTATATTCTTTAAGATTTTATGTTAAGTAGATTATGGGGGTGGAATCCAGGAAAGTAACATAAGATACCAGAAATTTGTTTCATAATCATTTGTGTTCAAAAGAGGCAAAATATTCTTATGTATTAAAATGTCACCAATGTACCCAATGGAAAGTAGATTTTTGCCTCAGTGAAAGCAGGTGTCACAACTCAAGGGCTCCAAAAAGCCCAGCAGGAATGGAAAGGAAGGCTCAACCTAAAGGGGCAGCTGCTTCATCGCCGTGGCCCACTCATATAACGTGGGAGGCCTAAGGGAACCAGATCTGGTTTTTCTAGAGAAGCCAGAGATTCTGGTTTAAGGCTGAGCCTCCTAATTTGTAAATACTAGCAACTAGCATTCAATACATTTAAAAACACTGTACTTCCAACAAAACTGCCTATGGACCACAGCCAGCAATAGTTACTGGTTCTCTAAGTTTAGGAAGCTCTGGAGGGTGGGGACCAGAGGCTGAAAGTGTCTTTTCAGTTGGTTCCCACCATCTGCCCTTCTAGTCTCCATCTTCCTCATCCCACTAGCTCCACATAGCCTGGGTATCCAAGTCTACTCTCATTAGAAGACTCAAGATATGACTCAGGTCATTTTTGATTAGGTGCGTTCTTTTCTTATGTCTAAACTAATTCCGGGAGGTTCACAATGTGACCACCTAGTCAGAGAAAATGAATGATATTTACTAAGGACAAACTATAGATCAGGCAATATGTTTATTAATCTATATTATATCCTCAGAAGTCTGCAAAATAGGTAACAGCCCCATCTTTATAAATGAAAAAAACAAGGTTTGATTTGAAACTTACCTGATTTCAAAAATCTCTATGAGATTTCTAATCTATGAAATTAAACGTAACTCTTGATCCATGCCTGTCTTCATGCTGACATATGGGTGTGACCAAAAAGACTCTGTGAAGTCATATAATTTAGCACCAAAGAACCTGACGCTTATATACATAAGATGGCAACACTTAACTCCTAGAATCTTGAATACAATTATAGCGTCATCCATACTGCTAGAGTTATTAGAGGCGACCTCCCTAGGAGCATGTTCTGAAACATCTGAAGTTTTGTCATAATACATTCTGTGTTAAATCTTTGAAACTAATACAAATGACAATTATAACAATAAAGAAATATTTAGTAATTACTATATATATCAGACATTTTCCTTAGCATTCTCCATGTATTAACTCATTTAAGTGGAAAAATAATTGTATGCAATAGGTACTGTTACCCTCAATTTACAGATTAGGAAACTAAGGCATAGAAAGATTAAGTAACTTTTTCAAGATCGTACCAGTAGGAAGTAATAAAACAGGGGTTTGAAATACGACAATTTGGCCTTAGAAACTGCAATATTATTCAATATATTAGATACCTTTTCTATATGTGAAACCTAGTAAAATAGCCTTATGAGAATTTTATTTTGAAGAACAGTTTAACAATAGAACAAATGTGAAATTAAGTGAGCTTATTTATGTTAATAACTATTCAATCATTAAGATCATGTTCAGGTACAGTGACTTAATATAGGAAATAAGTTTTGAAAAACAAAAATAAAATTCTAAGTCCTCCAACTAACTGAATGGATTCTCCCCTCTTAGCCAAGGATATCCCAAAGAAAATCTGAAAAACTAGTTCAGGTTATAACAGGAAGGGAGGTTGGATATGCCTCCTTATACCTTCTTGCCTTTTGGAGTTTAGGTACAACTGACCAGCACTGACAGTAAGATATAGATCACAAAACTGACAAAACAGACTTTGTCGCAATAAGATCCCCAACTCCAACCTGACTCTGGCATAGCATTAAATAACAGATAGCAGGCCCTAGAGGAAATCAAAGTATTTTATGCCAAAATGTATTTTGTTGACATATTTTGAAAGGGTCCTGCTAAGCCATCATTTGCAGGAGAAATTTCCATTCTATAGAGAATCTCCTTCACTTTCCAGGTCTTTTCCTGATCCAGGAAAGATTAAACTAAGAGTGTGATAGCTTTTAAGGTCTAATAAGAGATACTGACCATCTATTCTCTCTGAAGTCTGGTATCTAGAGGCCTGTGCTTCCAAAACCCCATTTATCTTCACATTTATTTTTTAATTTATTTTTTAGAATATTTTTAATTTATTTTAATAAGAACCTGTGCTTCCAAAACTCCATTTATCTTCATATTTATTTATTTATTTATTTTTGAGACCAAGTCTCGCTCTGTTGCCCAGGCTAGAGTGCAATGGTGTGATCTCAGCTCACTGCAACCTCTGCCTCATGGTTCAAGCAATTCTCCTGCATCAGACTCCTGAGTAGCTGAGACTACAGGTGCATGCCACCAAACCCGGCTATTTTTTATATTTTTAGTAGAGATGGGGTTTTGCCATGTTGGCCAGGCTGATCTCAAACTCCTGACCTCAGGTGATCTCCCCTCTTCGGCCTCCTAAAGTGCTGGGATTACAGGCATAAACCACTGTGTCCAGCCTACACAACCCCATTTCTTTTAACTCAACCATTTCTTTGTGCTGACTTCAAATCTTTCAGAAAAGCTTAACTTTTCAACTAACTGACAATCAGAAAATCTCTGAATCTACTTATGACCTGTGAGCTCCCCTCCCAACCAGCTCCATGATGTCCCTCCTCTCTGGACCAAACCAATGTATACCCTACATATATTATGTCTTTGTCTATAACTTCTGTATCCCTAAAATGTATAGGTGATTTCCTAATCAATTCCTATTAATAGTTCCACTAGTATCAGATGGAAGTGCTTCAGGCTAAAGTTCTTAAAAAAATATGAGTCTGTCTCTCATCGGAATGTCATAGCATTTTGGGGTTAACGTTCTCCTATCTCTGTACCTTTTCAATAAATTTCCCCAAAAATTTTCGTATAGCCACTCTTTAGAGCAGGTTAAGGAATAGAAACCTCACCAATGTAGAATATTCCATTTTTCAAGTAATTTTACTTTCAAGAGAATTGTTCCTTTGAAGTAACTGAAGAAACTATGTTTCTATTATTCTCCTCATATACTTCTCTATGTAATTCTAAGTACAGTGACTTAAAAGTGCCTTTTTTTTTTTAATTAAGATAATGACCCCAATGACCATATCAGCTTCTACTGGGAAAACTAAACCCACAAAAATAAATAAGCTATTTAAAGTGGTCCCCAACCTTTTTGCCACCAAGGACTTGTTTGGTGGGGAGATAATTTTTCTATGGACTGGGGGGCAGGGTGGGAAAGGGATGGTTTTAGGATGAAACTGTTCCACCTCAGATCATCAAGCATTAGATTCTCACCCAGAGTGTGCAACCTAGATCCCTCGCATGCCCAGTTCACAGTAGGGTTCACACTCCTATGAGAATCTAATGCTGCTGCTGACCTGACAGAAGGTGGAGCTCAGGCAGAGATGTTCCCTCTCCTGCCACTCAGCTCCTGCTGTGCCTCCCCATTCTTAAAGGCCACCAACTGGTACTAGTCTGCAGCCTGGGAGTTGGGGACACCCAATTTAAAGAATCTTAGAACACAGATGATTTTCAGAAGAAATTTCAAATTACTCTAAGTCTGAAATAAATCAACATGCCATAGAGTTTAGAAACAGTTACATAACTCAATTCAAATAATGGTTAGGCCAAACTATTTGGTTTTTAAAATGTGAGTAATAACTGAAAAATCTATACATCTTTTAGTGCTACACTGAGAAATAACCACACCTGCTATAAAAAATAAATAAGGATTAAATATGTTCTGGTAAAGAGAAAAATATTACTATACTACACTTCAGGAATAGTCTTTCTTTGTTCTGCAAAATTCTTTTCATCCCTTTACCCAGTACAAATACCAGTAAAACATATTAATAGATACTACATTCAGAAGAACACTTCATAATGCTGCTGTGTAAGACCAAGCTTAATATTTGTGATGTCTTTATTCTCGTTCTTTATCTAATCAAGTTTTGAAGCAGGGACTCATTTGCAACGCAGCTACCTTCATGTACTCATGAGATCTAGTGAGGAACTATGCCGTATGTTAAAATAGGTAGTTAGTGGGCATGATTCCCCCAAGTACTTTCCTTAAATTGTATACTTGTGGGACAATTTTCTAAACGAAGCCTGTTAATATTTTTGTCTACCTCTAAGTAGAAAGTTCTGAAGTAATCTCCTACCCCGTATTTTTTATTCCCAATACTTATATAATATTGCTATCAAGTTTACTTCCCTCAACTAAATTCCTTTTGGAAAAATCATGTTTTACTTACCAAATTTTCTTTCTCACCAACTATTGTTTTCTCCTCATCCAAATAAATAAATGAATAAGCATTTCTGAAAAACCGCCCTGCTGATGCTCCACTTTGATGGATCGCTTCCCTCCTCAACACATTCAAAATCCTTCTTTGGGAAGGTTAATGCCGTTCACTTTGGTGAAAGTACAGACCTAACTGCCTTTCCTGACCTTACGGGTCTCTGTCCCCTGCTCATCACCATGTAACACAAACAATTCACACACTTGTCACCTTTTTAAACTCTCAAATATCTACTCTTGGAAAAAAATCTTCCTTAAAGGAATATAATAAGTTTTAGTCTTACACAAGAATTGAACACTTTAGCAAATTGGTTCACCTAATTTTAAAAAATGGCAGTGAAATTTGTATCACTTGCCTTGGTTCTAATGTTTGTATGCCAGTGAAGAATCTCTGTACACTTCAATGTATTGCAAACAATGGTTTCCAATGCCCACTGTGAATAACATACCTATATTATAGTCACTACATTATGAGATAATTAAAATTATTTCTTATTCTTTCAGAAAATAATATATTTATTTACTTGTATTTATAAAATATCTACTCTCAATCTATCACAGGCAAATTAACTAATGGGTAGCTATTAAACCTATCAATTAATCTGCAAAAGAGAATCATCAAATAGTTCCTCCATGTGACTAGTATAACATCCATCAGTGCTTTTCTAGATAAATGGTAAAAGCCAATAATTACAGATGCAAATTTATGCACATTAGTAAGTATAGGGTAGTACGCTGTCATTTCCCAGTATTTATAACTAGATTCCTCTCTTTGCTTTCCTATGCCAGATCCTGAGAGGTAGATGATCACGTCATATTATCAACATTAATTATTATTACATAGATATGAACAAGATAGAGCTGTAAATGTTAGGTTTCAAATATATGGCTAAAAACTAGTGAAAGCATTTAATACATAAACTATATGATACATACTGATTAATAATATAACCTACCCATCAAATCCCTGGAGTTCGCATTCCTTGAGCAGTGACAGAGCATGCCCTTCATATTCCAGTACTAGTAAAAAAAAGAAAACACACACACACACACACACACAGACAAACAAAGTGAAAGTCTTAAACAATGATCTACAGTTTTTAACGTGTTCTGGCAAAATAATATGAGAAACATATGGCCAATTCATAAAACAACATTTATTCTTGAATATTTATATTTTAATCTTGGGCAAGAAGATTAAGTATAGTGGCCTGATGTGTTTTATAGCTTTATGTAAAAGATCATATATTTGTTTCAACTACATAAGTCATTTGGGATATCCCACACATAGTGGTTACAGAATTTATCTTGGTGCCTGTGTGTTTAGTATTCCCTAAATAAGATACATGTCCTTTAAATCAGAGGCTTAGGAGCAGCAGTATTTTGAAAATAAGGCATATTAGCTGGCATCGAACAGTCAATGTTAAATCGGTTTGGCAACCTTACATGAATAAATTAGTCGAAAGGTTAGTGTAAGATTTACAAACCAGAAGAATGTGTACTAGAACTGTTGGATGTGAAAATACAATGTAAAGCCAACACCAATGATAAGAAACCCAGACCCAAGAAAGAGGGTGGCACACAGGCCCGTCAGGGCCCAGATCCTCCAAGGAAATGAATCTGTCACTCCGTATCGCTGTCTCCCCGGTCACTGATGCCCATGCAGTATTGTAAATGCCAATGAAGACAGGATAAATGGGCACACTGCAGATGGCACCAAGCATCACAACCACATTTAGCATTTTCCAGGGCAGCTCTGCCAGAAGAGACAGCCCAGCTGTATCCACCCATCAAAGATTTCTGCTGACTGACATGACATTGCAGATGGATTTTTTGTGTAAGAATGTGCGTCATTATATGCAAGATTACATTAATCTTTCATGCCTGTCTGTCCCTGGTGCCAGCACGGTTCAAGCTTTTCCTACAATGTTTTTAGATATTGTTAAAAATTATTAGTCTTGGTGTCTAAAGGAATTATTCCGTATCCAGCAGTGTTACATTGTAATTCTTCCATAGCTTATTCAAAATGCCATTAACACATGAATAAAACCTCTCTATATTAAATCAGAAGAAAGCCATAATAAAACTATATATAAAATATTAATATTAATAAACTTGAAAGGTTATCATAGAAAATGTGTGCTGATAATTCCTTTATAACTACAGCAAGTAGTTGCAGCCTTAAAATGCAAAATAACATCTTACATATACACATTAAAAATAATTAAGAATATTATGAAAAAATATTTATGCTAAGAATCAGTTTACCAAGTCTTGCATATATACCAAAGCTTACATTGGTAAAGTTTTTCCAATCCAATAAATAATGAGCTTTAAAACTGTGTTATGATTGAAATGCCATTTTTATTTTATTTTTAAATTTGTAATAGTCTTTTTTGAAATTGTGGGTGGAATTTGATTATACACTAATGCAAGCTGCCTGAAAATAGTAATTTTTAAAGTAACATTGTAAAAGTTCAATAAAATCAAATATCTGAAACAAAGAAACAAAATGAAAAGAATCTGACTACCCACATCTATAAAATATATTAGCAAAATGAACAAAATGCATAGGACTTTGGCCTCAGGAATTTGCATTCTAGAGATAGACAATATATGCAAATGAAATAATGAATCTATAATACGAAGTAATAGGTGGTTATAAAATAGGCAAAAGGATAATGAGTGATCTGGATTACTATTTAGATATATAGTAGAAAGAACCAAATATGTATTTAGACAAGAGTATTGTGGGCCCTGGAATCAGTGAGAGCCAGATTCAAATCATCCGTCTCCAAACAAACATAGAGGGTTGCTAGACAAATGGAATTTCAAAAAAATGTAACCTAGCCTCTTCTTTCATCTATCTGCCTTTTCCTATGAAACTGCCAACCTGTACTCTTTCTAAATAGCAGATGTAAATTCTTCACAGTTTACAGGTCTTCCAACACAGTTCCCATTGCTGGGAATTTCCCCCTCCCCTCTTCAATGCAAATGCAACTTTCTCAGGAAGACAAGATAAGAGAAGGTCTTAAGGTTAATACTGAATGTTGATGAGAAAATCAGCTGAAATAAAATCAGGTGAAATTTGATTTGGACATAAGAAAACATTTCTTGGTTTGGTGATAAAATTATTGCACAGGATACAATACTGAAATGTCATTTTCTTCCTGTCTTGTAGGTGCTTCAAACTTAGTAAGCTCAAAACAGAATCCACTATGTATACCTTCAAATATATTCTCTCTCAAACATATTATTTTTTTTCTGTTCCATCATCCACTCAAGACAGGAAAATTACTACTCTCTTTCTTCCAGTATCCAGAACCACTCTATGGCCAAGGCCAGTTGTTTCTGTGTTTAAATTATGCCACAGCATCCCTTTTCTACCAGCCAATTCCCTAGATCTGATCACTATCTATCTTTTATGTATAGACAAGTGTCCCTAATCAGAAAATCTAAAATCCAAAATGCTTCGACATCTAAAAATTTGGGATCACTGACATGATGTTCAAAGTAAATGCTCATTGGTGCATTTTCAATTTCAGATTTTCAAATTAAGGATGCTCAACTGGTTAAGTATAATGCAAATATTCCAAAAGCTAAAACCATCCTAAATCTGAAACAGTTCTGGTCCCAAGCCTTGCAGATAAGGGATACTCAACCTGTACTACAATAGCCTTTTATCTTGTCTCCCTCAAACCTCTCCCCAACTCTAGCCAGAATAACCATTTTCAGATACATATTTAATTATATCACTTTTTTGTACAAACCCCATTAATGAGTCTTCATTGTTCCCAGACATCAAGTTCCAACTTCCTAACTCACATCTGAATGATGGGAATGGAATTGGCTGTCTACATCCAAAATTATTTAAGAGGTAATAAACAGAATCTTTTATACAGAATTATCTTTCTCTCAAACTAGACATGATGCATGAACATCTACTTTTCAGATTTTTTTTTTATTAAAATGCAGGTAAAACTGGAAAGAGTGATGCCTCAGGCTACTGGAATCTTTTGTGATACAATTTCATTAGGTTGCCTAGCTTTTTGCTAGGTGAGATTTAAAATGACAAGAGGCATTTCCAAGAAATGAAAGGCTTCAAGTAGAGCCAAAAACAACTAGAGAAACAATACAAATGGGCTTGCTAACAGCCCTGTTAAAAACATGATTATAGGAGAAAGAAGAAGATGACAACAAACACTGCTCTCTGCCCAGGAGTTAAAATTATCTGATGACTTAGGCACTCCCAAGATCAAGGTTTCCTTTAGATAAATGTCTCTGACTATGATAATGATAACGACCATGATAAGGTCTAGCAGCTCTGTTAATACAAAAGGTAACTGAAGGAGATGGAAGTAGCTATCATGACCAAGAGATGAGGGGCAGACAGATATCTGTCTTCAAAAAACTCAATGACTCTTTTACAATAGATGGGGCACATTTATTTCATATTACTAAAATAAGTAACATTAACTCTAGTAGATAAAAATTACAAACAGGCAAATGTCAGCTCACAAGTTCTCATTTTGTACAGTTTATGCCTAGCACAAAGGCACTTGGCCAAAGAGAAGGCTGGATTTGCGATCTAGCTAGTGCTCCTGATTGACAAGCAGTGACCTTAGGCTGAATTAGCCTGGAAGAAAGGGCACCTTTTGTAAATCAGCATAGAGAAGGTACCTTTCCTAATCTGCACAAATGCACAGTAACTCTGAACATTCATAAGAATGTCAAACAGTATTGCCCAGTGACAACATACTCTGCCCCTAGCATAGGTGGCTAAATCAAAGTTGAGCGCCACACACACCTGTTCTCCACCCGCAAGGAAAAAAATTGAACCATATAGCCTCAAAAGTTCTTTTCAGTCTGATTTCTCTGCTGCCTTAACTTTTTGACTCTATTGTCCTATAAATTATCCTATGGATCTCTGATCCTCAAAATACTTCACACACCTTTAATGGTACAATCTCTAAAACCTGCTTTTAAAAGAGAAATGATATCATATGCCAGGATGGGCTTATCATTCATGCTCTTTGATTTGTGTACCAATAGGCAATTAGGAAAAAATAATTCTTTCCACGTTCTCCCAGAAGTTTTTCTGATGCCATTATTAGATAAGATACTATATTGATGGTGGCAGCAGAGTAGAAATGCAACTTTAGCACAAATATTTCAAAAGATGCCAATCTATATTCAAAAGTAGTTATAATTTCGGCACAAGCCAAAATGAAAGAAGTGTATTTTTATTAATGTGATAAGATCCATTAAAAATTATGAAAAAATGACAGCATCTTATAGTGTATATATCTAGCTGTAATTGTTCAAATTATACTTCATATTTATATAGCACTATTTCCTGATGAACTCATCATCATATAGGGTTTATTTTGCAATTCCAGTTCCATCTGGACTCACCAATGCACACAAGAATACATTACAACAATAGTCCCACTGGTCAGGCAGAAGAAATGCCCTCTTTTTGCTTTACTCTTTCATATACGTTTTCTCTCCAAAAAAAAGTATGAATTGAATCTTACTATGACATAATTTTTGAAACTGAAACAGTATTATGACCATCTTTCTGTAGTATTTTATAATATACACAGTTTCAAATACATTATTTCAACCACAAAAATAACACTGTAAGATAGGCAGGAAGACTAAAAATTTTCAAATATTCACAGGGTTATTCAAAAAATTTTTTTTCATAAATATTGAGCCAATATGCATACTAAAATGGTTTTATAAGCAAAAGATGTAATTTTATAAATTTGCCTGTAGGAGGAGTGTTAGGCAGCTAATAATTAGCCATTAAGAACAAATACAAGTAAATTCTAAATTTGCTTTAGGTAATATTCTATTGTTTTGTGTTAAAGTAAATATAGTACTTAGTAATATTCACAAATTTAGAGAAAAAACCCTAGAACATATTTTTGTCTCGAATAAAATTAAGAAGGAAAGCATATTTTGATGATTTCCTCTGCCTTAGTTCAGGCCTTGTGTATCAGTTTTATTTTCTCCAATCTCTTTCTCTCTTCGTTTTTAATTTTAATTCTGCTGGTGGAGTCATCTTTGCCAAACCAGATTACGACACTATGATAAACAAAAATGTACACCAACTGTGGATCAATGAATGCAAGGTGAGTAAACTGCTGAGTGTAGTATAAGGATCCATCCATAACCCAGACCTAACACCTCCTGTAGTATACAGGAGCCTTCCTGGAAGTCATTTTGCCCTTTCTTCTCCCTAACAGAATCCAGATTCAACTGAAGCATTTTAGCCTTCAGAAAAAGGGGATCTACCCTCAGTCTCTAGGAAGACTCTTGATGGTTAAAGAAATGATTATTCCAGATTGAATGTGCTAATACAGTATCTGTGCCCAAACTGAAATTTTAAATTATCATCAGGATTAAAGCATGTTGGGTCTCTCTCACACACGTATTCACACCTGTCCCCATCCCACTGGATATTAATAAGAAAGGATCAAATTCACTGGCAGCTGTTTTATGACGATAGAATAAGATTTGACATAACGTCAAACTGAGGAAAGTCAAACAGTTATAAAACAAACTCTCAAGATGTATAGGTATAACATACACAGACATACAGACACACAGACACACACACACACACACACACACACACACACACAGACTCTCTCTCTCTCTCCCCCCACCACCACCACTTTTACAGTACTGCCTGCTAGCCTGACTTCATCCCCTCACTTTTTGTTTTTTCTGCCTCTTAAAAACTGCCTAGTTCAAATGCTTTCCTTGAACCTTCCCATCAAAATATCACCTGAGACATCACAGTTCTTTTATGTATATACTCCAGCTAATGTAGTTTTAAGTATATATTTGAATCCCTAATAACCTGGAAAGTCATTCAATTGCAAGTATGATAGCTTATTCATCTTGCATCCTGCACAATGTTGAACACAAAGCAAGCACACAATGAGATTCCTGAAGTGAATACTATATAGCAATATCCATGTCAAGCTGTTTTGTAGTAGTCACATGTAAAATCAATGACACAAAATAGTCATTGAGTATACCAATAAGTTTATTCCACTTTTAATTCTCGCCCTAATACAAATCTCAAACTTTTCCTTTAGCCAATCTTTGAAAATCTTCCGTAGAAAGGAAACAAAAATCTGAATTTTCTCTCTTTCTTATAAATCACCTCTAAATAAGCCAAAAGTCACAAACATGAAAGGTTAACTTCTTCACTATAACTTTATTTTAATTCAGAAATTCTTCTTGAGTTTTTCATGGTAGTTTCTCTTTAACCTCTACAGTCATAGATACATTTCATGGAAGCTGACCTTCCCACAAAACTTGCTCTTTTTTTTTTTTTAGGAACTTTCTTCTACCTCAGTCCATCAAGTCACTAGGTGTAGGCTTCCACGGCAGCATTTACATCTTGAAACCTATCTCCTTTGTTTAGAGCTGAGTAAAGCCACATCACTGTGAATCCCTTCCCCCGGAATTTGTAACTGGGACTAGGAAATACCAAGTGAACTCTGAGCTTGCCCCTTGAGTAGGCTTATTTTATAATATTTTTCATCAATTAAATTTATTGCAAATTTCCACTGTTAGTGAAGTCACCTAGAAATAAAGCTAGAGAAGTTGCGATTCTCCATAGCATCGGACTCTGCTACTCAGTTCCCCACCATATGAAAATAAGTCTCAAAGAAACAAAGGAATGTGGTCATCAAAGTCAAAAAATCAAAAAGGATATTACTGGTCATCTATTAATTTCTGTATTAACAAGTTTCTATTTTCCTTGCCACAAACCTAAGTACACTTCTTAGTTTAGACCATGAATTTAAGCTTCTAGAATCTCTAATTCATCTATTAATAAAATCAGCAGTTTAGTGCTTAGTTTTGACCTAACCAGCAGGGGTCAGAGTCAGAACGAAAACAACCTAAGGAAGAATTCCATGGAAAGACATCAACTACATAAGTGAGCAAAAAATCGATTGCTTGCCTAACTGCAAAATGAATGTGTAAATAACAAACATCTCAATGAAGATGTAAACAAGTATACAGCTTCCTTTAGAATTATATCTGACAATTGTTTAGGTCTGGAAAAAAATCTGAAAAAGTTCAAAGAAAAAATATTCATATTCTAATAAAAATAACACAATAAAAAAAGAAAATAAATAATAACTTTGGAGCTGGTTGCAGCCGGTTATGGAAGACATAAAAACACTATGGATACTGCAAATAGTTTCCCAAGTTTGCCTTAAGAAAAAATTCAGGTTATCTTGCTTTTGTATGTTTTTGTAAATGGCGAAATTATATTCTGAAAATTACTTACTTGTTACATCAGTTTTTATTCCTGCAAGCTTCAACAGAGGTTCAACCTTCTCATAATAAACCTGGATAGCTTCTTTTTTGTGACTCTGGGGGTTAAGGAATATTTTTAATGACTTCGGTCTGTTTGGAAAGCCTAAAAAGAAATTTTAAAGACAAAGCTGTAAAGCGCTTGTCAGCAATTTTCTTCTTTCCCTTTAAAATGATACACAATTCTGTCGTTATATACATTTAAATAGTATTTACTATTTTTATTTGAACTTCTTGCAAGAGTATTCCTGAATATAACTTTATTTTAAAACATTTACATTTTCCTAGCTGTGAAATAGGCATTTCCCTCTTAAAATAAATGAGTTAGAACAATACATTTATGAAGGAAGATGCACAAAAAAAAAAAAAAAAAGGCAACTTTGTGAATGTCAGGCAAAGTGTATGTGTATTTACCAAACCACAATATATCAAATGTGCTTTTAGCATTTGTTTCTGGAAAAAAGCAATGGACTGTAACAAATAGAAGGGTACATTTCCTCTCCTTAGCTAAATGTGCTCATTATTGGAATTGGGCACCCCAGTGACCCCAGGGCTACCAACGCCTGACCTACTGATGAGTCCAGGGCAGAATAGAGGAAGCAGGGATGGGTCAGTGTCAGCACCAAGTGCAGTGCATGCTGGGAGTTAAAGAGAGGGTTTCGGTCAGAGTTCAAGCCTGAAAAGGGGCCAGGGGAGAAGGAACTCTTTGGGGAATTGGGAAAGCATCGCCTCTCAGCAGGGATTCGATGATAGTGCTGCCTCACAGTTGGGGCTGAGATTTGATACTACAATTTTCTGGGCTTGCAAGATGCTTATCTCTTCAAACCCAGTTGGAGCAGGTGCAAAGCAAATTTTCTGTTGTTAGGAAGGGGCAGGAGGGACTGAGGAGCCAAAAGAAAGCTGACAACCGTTTCTTTTATAATAAGCTGCTCTCAGAGGGCCACATTTAAAGATTAAAGAAGCAGTTATTAACATCTATTTTTAATAAAAGCCATTATTAAAGACAAGGGAAAACTGTCCACTACAAGGAGCCAGTGTTTCATACCTCAAGTAGAGACAATGTTTCATTTGTCGCCATATTTAATACAATAAAATCTTTCAACAGGACACACTTTTGATTTTAGGGAGAGATTTAGATGAAGAAGAGATAGGGTCATGATGAACTCCTTAAACACTCCCAAACTGCCTAGGATGCTTTTTGGTAAGAAGCCTGCGTCAGCCTTACCCAAGCTGGAAACCCCAAATCCGTGCTCAATGTCTTCTTTTTTCCTTGCTACATTTGAATGGGGTCTCAGAATTGTAAGATGGTGGCTACCTGCGTCCATGCCTTCTCCCTTTTCCCACTGTCGTGCTCTGACTTGGGGCCGGTGCCCAGGCATGCCGGCTGTCCTCCCCTTCCACTGCATCCTTTGGCATCGCAGCTCTCATTAGTGCTGCACAGTTCAAAGGAGACTGTGGCTCACTGCTGCCTGAAGAGCGAGCCCAAACCCCTTAAAATGACATTCAGAGCCCTCCTGCTCCCAATCCCAGCCAATCACTCTCCTCTCCTCCTTCTGTCACACAGGTTAAAGAAACATTTATTGAGCATTTGTGCTAAGTACTGGGAAGAAAGGTCAAGGGATTAAGACATGATTTGTGTTTTAAAGGAGAAAGATGTATCTGCAAATACAGACAGCAAAAAACATAGATTTGTTAACAGAGAAGCATAAAGTACAAAATGGTGTGTGAGAGAAGGTGGTTAATCCTTATTAAGGATCTGGAAAAGGTTTCAAAAGAAGGGAGTATCTGAGCTGGGCTTTTGGCTTGTGCTGTTTTCATCCCCTAAAATTCCCTCCTTCATTAACCCCCATCCCACCCTAGAGCAAAACAGCAGTGAGACCTGCCTGAGCAAATAAATGAAGCTAAGTTCAGAGGATTTTTATGTTCCATTTCAGCCTTCTCATCAAGGTCCAGAACCATTGTATTATTGCCAAAGGGTCTGCTGAGCCTTCCTTTGTTCAGACACTTTTTCTTTATGCTCCACCCCATCCCCACTTTTGTCAAAATTTTATGACTTTTCACAGTTCACTCAAACAACACTTCCTCAATGAAGCCTTTTTTGTTTTTTTGTTTGTTTGTTTGTTTTTGTTTTTTTGAGATGGTCTCACTCTGTTGCCTAGTCTGGAATACAGTGGCATGATCTCGACTCACTGCAATCTCCACCTCCTGGATTGAAGCAATTCTCCACCTCAGTCTCCTGAGTAGCTGTAGTTACAGACATGTGCCACCATACCCAGCTAATTTTTTTTTTTTTTTTTTTTTTTTTGTATTTTTAGTAGAGATAGGGTTTCACTATCTTGGCCAGGCTGGTCTTGATCTCCTGACCTCATGATCCACTCACCTCAGTCTTCCAAAGTACTGGGATTACAGGCGTGAGCCACCGTGCCGGGCCTGAAGTCTCTTACTCAGCAACAGAGTTCACCTCTCTGAAATTTGTCTGAGTAGGGTTTCTCTGCTCACACTTTACTCTGTTTCTCTATTACTCATCCTTATATCATTTACATGAAAGGACGCTGATGAAAGACCCCCAAGCTGAGACAATACAGAATTGAATAACAACAAACTCCATGAGTAATACTGACACTAAACAAACAAAATACAAGAAGAGAACATTCCGTTCTATAGTAGAATAATATTAAGGTAAACAATACAGAAGAATTATAAAGTGAGAAAAATCACTATTTCCAGTCATCACAATAATTATTGTTTCAGATAAGAATCACCAATGGGTGCTAAAGCCATCCAGTGACAGTCAGTTGGGGTCAAAATATTTATATATCCTTAAACTCTATCTCTCATTACTCTAATTATTAATATAAAGGGTAGCACCTTTAATAGAGACTAAAGACATGAAAATTAAATGCAATGTGTGATTCTGAATTGGGTTTAAAAAAAAAAACACCATAAAGGATAATATATGGCTGTCCTTTAACCAAGAATGACTAAGCTTACTTTTAGCTTACTAAAAATAACCTAGAGCTTACTTTTACTGAAACACAACAGGAAAAAGAAACTTGCTTAAAACCCAAAGGCCAAGTGTCAGATTAAATAGCCTGATTAAATTTACTTTACCTGGCAAATTTATTGGAATATCCTGCTTTACTTCTCAAGCAGGGGCAGTCCCAATAAAGACAGTGTTATCACACACAAACAACTTTTATTTACTTCTCTTCCTATATTCACTCATTTATTCACAAATAACTACATGCCTGCTAGGTATATCAGGCAGGGTTCCAGAAACTGAGGCTCTGTCAGTGAACAAGAAAGACTCTGCCCTTGTGAAGCTTCCACTCAAATGGCACAAGACAGAAAGAAACGAGTATATCACATGGTAATATAATACATTCTAAAGATTAAAATGAAGATTGCTTGCAGTATGAGAGAGGGAGGGCAAAGGTGGACATGACTCTCTGGCCGGGAAAGGACAGATCACCTTAAAGCCTTGTAGACATTTACAAGGACTTTGGCTTTTGTAGAGTAAAAAGTGAAGCATGGTGAATTTCAATCAATGAAGCCACATAACCTTAGGTGCTGAAAGAAACACTCTGGCTGCCTTGTGGAAAGTAGATAAAGTAGGATCAAAAGCCACCAAACAAGAGCAGTTGCAATATTCCAGGAGGGAAATGGTTATGCTTGGACTGGAATGACTGCAGCGGAGGTTAAAAGTTAGATGCCACATGTATTTTGAAGGTATAGCTGACAGCATTTGTTGACGCTTTGGATATAGTATGTGAAAGAGAAGAGTCCAGGAGTACTCAAATATCTGGCTGGTAAGGAGAAAGTAAGGATTTAAGATAGATGAGTAGTAGTGAAAAACCTGTAGACTCAAATTGTGGTCTCAGAGAAAGTTGTCAGTAATGGCAAGATCTAAGAAACTGGCATATTCATCAGAATCACCTGAAGGGCTTGAGTTTTGGGCTCAGTAGTCTGGGATGTTATCTAGAAATTCATATTTATAACAGGTTGCCAGATGCTAATTATGTTTGCAAAGGAACCACATTTTGAGAACCAATGTTCTAGAAATCATCCTCGTTGAAGGAGAAGAGACTCGAAACTAAAAGAATAGCTTAAAATATATATATTATAAATATATATAATAATTTAATAGGATCAGTGCCAGAGAGAGTAAGAGTGGGAATAAGGTAGTTTTAAGTCTTCAATGAGTAAAGAAAGTACCTAAGTGGTCTGCACAGGACTGCAACTGGTAGTGCCAGATAGAGGTATCTAATAGATTGAGCTTAGCGCTGATAATTTTTAAGAGACAAAAAAAATATGGTCTTGAAATTGAACAGAGATGGAAGGAAGACATCAAGACATTGACAATATCTCCAGAACCAGTGGTATAAAATGTATGAGAGAGAAACCAGTTACCACTTTAGAGAACTCTAAGGAAAGCTATATGTTCCTGGGAGAGCTGAGTCTCTACTATAGCAAGAATGTGGGGAAAATATTTAGAAAGGAGATTGAAAATACAGGAGACTTTGCTAATGATGGACTTTTCATTCCAGAAGGCAGTGTAAAATGCTGTCTGGAGTTGAGGAGGGTAGGGGACAGTGTCAGCCTACGAGGTGCACAGAGACTCAGAGGCATGGGAGTTCAGGTGATGGAAGGGTTTTAGGCAGTGACATGGGGTGGAAGAGGTAGAACTGTTGGCAGCAATTACGGTTGGAGAGTAAGGCAGTGGGGGAAGGGTCTTACCCCAAGCACTTAGAGCTCTAAGAATTTGTCTTCCCTCCAGCTAATGTCAAAGTCGGGAAAGGAGCAATGCTGCCTGGAGCTAAAGGAGCTCCAAAGACCCTTTCCCTTTCATCAGTCCTGGAAGTCCTGGAATCCGAACCTGTATCTGTCTGACATGGCTACACTTTTCACCAAGTGACCTCACTGCAAACATTTGAGAACCATATGCTTGACTGTTTTCTTAATAGGTAAATCATACACATGCTACAGAATTCGAAGTCTCCTTATTTAGCTCATTCACTGATATCTAGTTTCCGTCTTGCAAAACAATCACTGATATCACATTGAGAATCATTCAGAAATACATATTTTTTGAGATGGTGTCTTGCT